AATTTTTTTCGTCGTTTTTAGTAATATTTTAAATATTTGTGCAACTTTGCTGAGCATGTTATCATTGTTTAAATAATCCCAAAATTATTGTCGTTTCATATTAATGCTGATTTAAAAATGTTCATCGATTCGAGCAAAAGTTATTGGAACAGATTAATAAAAGTAGTTGGCAGATCTCAGCGGCGTTTGGTTACAGCGTACCTACCTATTTGTCCATTTGGATTGAAGCAAAAATAATTTTGATAGTGTTTTTCAACAAAATTTCGTCTTTGAAAAACCGTGAAGGTTTACTTTTGCTGAGTTTATAAAAATCGTCAGTTGCTCGACAAGTCACCAATAATAATCAGAATAGCCTACTAGGCTATGTATTAATATATTGTATTATTTCCAGACAGGCTTCCAATAGTTTGCCGCTATATATTTTTAATACGGAAATGCAAATCAAATTTTTTGACAACTTATATTACCCAGTGTTTGCCATTCATCAACGTCGTTTAAAAACTTACATAACTTCATTTTCATAGATTTTTAAAACAAAGTTTGAACTTTTTGTTTTAACAAATTTTGGTTTCATGGAAAACACGAAAAATTCATCTTCTTTAAAAATTTGCAAACTTTATAAATGTCCATTCCAACATTACCAAAAAACACATGTGTGCAGCGCGTGGAGCTTTCAACATGAAGGTAGAACATCACCTAATGAATCATTTCCATCCATCATTTTTCACTGTGAGTTGGTTGGAGCACATGTTTTTCCACCTTGCTGTATATTAAGGACTCTTTAGCTGAATCTAACCTCACTTGTACTAATATTAAAACAAAACAGTCAAAAATTATTTTATACAACAAGGGTGAAAACAAAAAGATCCAAGATTCCACTGACATATATAATACGATGGTTGACATGGAAACTTCTGACGAATAAATTATTAACACCTACACACACATTAATGCACATGAATATACTTACACACACGCACACATGCACGCACACATATGTGTGTATGTATATATGTGTGCGTGTACGTTAAAGTGACAGATATAGGAAAGAGACAAAGATTAAAAAGATGAAATATTTTCCGAATGCATTTTTAATATCGCAGGGATATGATGAATTAACCTGTCCATTAAAATAATAACATCATTTTCTATATTACCATCATCATTTTGATTTTTGCCATCGCTCCCATCATCATCCTCATTTTCTTCTTCTTCATCATCATCTTTATTCTCATTAACATCTTCATCCTTTTTGTTTTTATTTTTTGTTTGATCATTATTGCCATTACGTCTTTTCCGTTATCATCACATCACCACCATGAATACTCTTGCTACCATCATCGTCATCATCATCATCATGAATACTCTTGCTACCATCATCGTCATCATCATCATCATCTCACCATCATAATTTTCACCATAATCATCACCATCATCATCATTATCATCTTAATAATCATCATCAACATCATTGCATACGTCCTCGCCATCACCATCTCATCATCGTCTTAATGTTAAATATCATCGTTATCATTTTATTGTCATCATTAAGGGCATAACGGACATATTCAAATAAACGTCGTCATCATTATCATCCTATTTATCATCATCATATCCGTATCATCATTATCATCGTCAACATCGTCCTTTTCATTATCATACCTAGTCATCACCCTCATCATTCTACTATATGGTTTTGGTAGGTTTGTTAAATTATGGCTGGTTAACTTGTTAATGAACGATCCTTCATATACTTTTTGGGATATCGAGGGTTTTTGAATTCAGTTTCGTCTCATAAATTCAATATATGAGAACTTTGTAAGAAACTTCAAACCTATTGAAGAAAATAAATTTAGAAAGCATTGCATCACTGGCAGGCAGTTCGCGTGAATAATTGTCAGAAACTACTTTTCATGCATAGGAACTGACTGAAAATATAAAAATTTTAATTCAAGAGGCTAAAAACCCATATTTGAAATTTTAAAATTCACGTCAAGTGCCGAGGAAACAAGAAATCACTAATAATCATCATCTTTATCACTATTACTATTATCATAATTATAACTATAAAGGTCATCCACGTCTTCATCTTAATCACTATCTTCATTATCATCATATCTTAATAAGCATGGTGAAAATGATGACGACAATGAAGATGAATTAATCTGATCGAATGTGTGCGAACGACACGGACTGCATGCGACAGAAACTTGGCATGGAACGCCAAATAATTGAAATGCTGGGTAGGAATTGGATGAAAGTATGAAACAGTGAATTGTGAAGTTGCTGTTGAATAGATGGTTGGTTGGCTGGTTAGTTGGTTGGTTAGTCGGTCGGTTGATTTGTTGGTTGGTTTGTTGCTATACAATGCAGGTTTTCATTAAAACAACAAAATTACAAACATCTAAACATTTTAGTTAATGCTGTTGTTGTGACGGTTATTAGGACGTGGTTACTTCGACTATATGATGTTGTTGATTTGTACTTGAAGTTTTCAAGCAGACTTGCTACAATAATTTCCTTCATACACTCTTGACACCAGCTAGTCAAAGATCCTACACAAAAATGATTCCGAGTCGGTCGGAGTCGGAATTTTTTAAGGAGCCGGAGTGGGATCTTTTGAGGGGCAAGACCGAATATTTTTCATCCGACTCCGACACACCGCAAAAATGTCTCGTTTTGGACGTTTTGGGATTTGAAGAAATGTTTAAATAACATTATCGTTGTGGTCATTACCACTCGGTTAATTTAGGTTTGTTTTTGTTTGTTAGCATTTTTCAAAACTTTTTGTTCAATTACTCATAAAATGTTGAATAGTCTGAATCTTGAATGAACGGTCATAAGGAACAATAAATGAACTGTCAAAGAAATGGATGACTGAATGAATGAATGTATGGATGGATGGATGGTTGTATGGATAAACGAATGGACAAAAAATAAATGAATAAGTAGACAAAGGAATGAATGAATGAACGATGAGAAAATGAAAGAATGAAAGTGGATGGTTGATTGAAAGAATGGGCGGATGAAAGCTGCTTGCGTTTCACGTGCATGAAATGAAATGAAAAGGAAATGAAAGAATGAGGAAAGAAAGAACGGACGGAGAGATGGATGGACGGAGGGATGGATGGATGAAATATCATTTATGAATTAGCGCATTTGTTCATAAAAGAACGATTTATGAGCGTTAGAGTAGAAGAATGGAATAATGAATGACTGAATGAATGCATTAATCAAGAGTTAGGAAGATAAGTAATTGGAAAAATATAATAAATAAACAAAGGAATGAATGATCGGACTAACAAATGAATGAGAATTGGCGAATAATTGTTGAATGAAAAAAGATTGAAAGAATGGATGATTGGAAGAACGAAAGAAAGACAGAAAACTAAATATATTAATGAGTGAGTGATTGATAGCTTAATTCAAATGATAGATAGCATGTAGAGATAATGAATAAATAAAATGAGCGATTGATTGTAGTAGCGAGCGGACGAGTGGATGAATGAAAAGCAAAGAATGACTAGGCATGCAAAGAAAAAATTATTTAAGGTTTAGCCGAGTAAACAATTGAGTCGAGCGAGCGACCTTCCCCTTTTATACACTTACAACTCTGCCACAGCGCCGTTCATGTGCTGTATGTTGTCCTTTCCACTTCGTTTCTTCGATGATTTCATTCAACTATTCGCTTATTTTTGTATCACCATCCAACCTACAAAACTACGCGCATACACTTGTAAGAACGCGTTTGGAGATTGAGATAAATTTTATTTTCCGTTAAAAAACTGATCAAAAAATGTACACACACACACACACACACACACACAAACGAAGTTAGTATAAAATTACTGACTAATAAATTAAAAAGACCAGTAAAATTTTAAATACACAAAAATTAATTACAGACAAAAAGTTAAATTTGAATAAGTTAAATGGTGAATAAATAATATTTCAGATAAGGAAGGACCGTGTACCTGTACATTGCCTATATGTAGTCACATTCGAAATATTAGGTCACACACACACACACACACACAGACATACTCATACACCACACAGACATACACACACGCCACACAGACATACACACACGCCACACAGATACAAACACACACCACAAACACACATACATAAATCGAATTATTTATCAATTCATTCGTTTCTATAATAACATTCAAATGAATCTATAAAAACATTTCAACGAAATGATAAGAATATCACACGTTGTTAATTAAAACACAATCATTAACATTAACTAGTATTTCTTAGCACTCAACAGTAATTGAGAAATTTTAAAAGCAGGTAGGTATATATTATAGGAATTCCTTTTAGCGGATCACTCATTTCATTCCAAAACATTAATTATTAAATATTAATAACATTCCACCAATATAATTCACCGATTAAATTAAAATTTAATTAATTAAAAATCGTTTTGAAATAATAAAGATAATGACGGTAATACATCCAAATGGAAAGACAGGTTTCTATGCAGTTGAAACATTATCAAGTTAATCGTGATTGAAAAATTCGCAATTTTTTAAAATTTAATTGCCAATTAATGAAATCTACGATCGGTCTGGCGGGCATTAAAATCGATTAATTAATAAAATCGCGATAAATTCAGTGTCTAATTAACATTCAACAGTAATCTAAAAATCGATTGGTTCAAAATAAATTAAGTAATAAAAATTGAATGATTGCATAATGGACTGACCGATTAATGATTGATTAATTAATGAATGAATGAATGAATGAATGAATGAAAAATAAATGAATGAATGAAAAATAAATGATTGATTGATTGATTGATTGATTGATTGATTGATTGATTGATTGATTGATTGATTGATTGATTGATTGATTGATTGATTGATTGATTGATTGATTGATTGATTGATTGATTGATTGATCAATTGATTGATCAATTGATCAATTGATTGATCAATTGATTGATCAATTGATTGATCAATTGATTGATCAATTGATTGACTGATGAACTATTGATTCCTGATGAGCGCCATCTCGTGTAGAACCTCGAGCAAGCAGCCGACACTCCATGCTTGTGCCTCACAACTGTCCGCACAGTGCTGTCAAGAAAGTTTTGTTCATGGTTTAAGATTATGATGATGATGTTAATTATAATGATGATGATGATGACCATGACAATGATGCTGATCATGATTATGATGATGTTAATTATAATGATGATAATGATGATGATGATGACCATGACGATGATGTTGATCATGATGATGATGTTAATTATGATGATGATGTTGATGATGATGATGAAAATGATGACAGTAGCGAAAATGATGTAACCAGCATGAAGATGATGAGATGATTAGAAGGATAACCAGGTGAAAATTATTAAAACTAATGAAGTGATGATGACGACTGAGATGATTGTGGTCATAAGAATGATCACAATGAATGATAATGATGACGCTGACGATGTTGATGACGATGTTAATAATGACGAAGAGGATGGTGATGATGAGGAGGAAGAGGGTGGTGATGATGATGATGATGATGGTAAGGGTGATGGCGGGAATTATAAGAAGCATGATTGATGACGACACTGAAACAATAATAATTATGACACGTAATGAGGCGATAATACGAACAGAACAAAACAAAACAAAAAAGAAAAGAAAGATGACGCCAAACATAGAGTAGTAAGTAAAGTAGTGATAGCTGAGATGGTGATGCTAAGGTGAGTGAGAATGGTGATGATGTAATGATAAAGTGATGACGATGATGAAGCCATAATTAACTGTAATGACATCAACGGTAACTACCGGACGAACGCAAGATGATGATGAAAATTGCAAGATGGTGAAATTGATGATGAAGATGGTCGAGAGGATGATGAAAATAACGATCAAGTCGATGATAAAAATGATGAAAATGATAATAAACATGACGATGACGTCATTCGATCGTGTTAGAAGCGAATAATGGTGAATTCAGTGTAAAATATTGCGTAATGTTGCTTCGATGATGATGATGATGAGAAAGTGATGACGATGAAAAATGATAATAATGATGAAAAAGTAATGTTAATAATATTTATATAATTATTATTATTATTATTAATGTTATTATTTTTATTATTATTAATGTTATTATTTTTATTATCATTGTAAAAGGAGAACCACCGAGTGCTACAAGACAAGAGGACAAGTCAACAGAAGCTAATTGCTAGAATAATGCCGATAGTAGCACCAATTAAGAAACAAACACAAACATACACATAATAGGCAATAAGACAGACACACAAACGCATGTTACATCACATTTACATGCTATATATTTCTTATATGGTAAAGGCAATATGTTTGTTTACAGCGTACATCAATAACTCTATACGTCTGTAGATTACACATACAAGTAATAATATACAAACGTATATAAAAAGTAAACTACATACATTCTTATTTATGTAAATCTGCATAAACAAGCACACATACAATCAAAATAACAAGCACACATGCGCACACAACATACACAAACACGCACAGAGAGAAACAGACAGAAACAAACAGACAGAAACAAACAACAGACAAACAGAAACAAACAACAGACAGACAGACGTGGATAATATTTAATACTAAACAAGTAACTGAAGTGTTCGCTTGAGAAATGGAAAGATGAAAGGAATGTAAGATGAAAGAAGATGGAGCATAAAAATAATAACCCGAAATGTGACAATGTTTCGCAAAAAATAAGATGCTGCGTGTGTGGTTGTGTGTGTGTTGTATGGTTATGTGTGTGTCGTGAGGTTATATGTGTGTGTTGCGTGATAATGTGTGTGGTGTGTGTGGTGTGCTAACTTGAGCAGAGGGGTGTTCAGAGGAAAGATGAATAAAATAAAAAAACTGCAATAATTGCGAAATAGACTAATGGCCAACGACAGGAGTACCGCACGTTGAATAGTATCATAATCGGGCATGAATGAAAAGGATGAAGGCATCACAACGAGTGGCCAAGTTTGGCTGACTGATGCGGTGATGCCTATAAACTAAAATATAAACAATGTAGATAAACAAACAAAACATTAACACGTAAAAAACATAGACATCTGCAAATAAACCTAAACGTAAAAAAAATCAAAGAAACAAATACATAGATTTCTGTAAATGAATGAACGCGCAGGGCGAAACTCACGCATTTCATGATTGAACTAATCACCGATGAAGAGGTCACGCCGGAATATTAAAACAAAATAAACAGACGAAAATATTACGAAACAATAACCATAATGAAAATAATAACACAAACCTCAATTATAACAAATAAACATTAATAAATAAACAAACAAACAAGTAGACAAACAAATAAACAAATAAATAAATAAATACAAATAAAAAACAATAGCTAAAAGGTGAAGAAGGACAAGTCAAACAAGAGGAGAGGAACGAAGTAAATACAAATATAATTAAGTAGTGGAATGAATGAGTGAGCGAACGAGTGAATGAGTTAGTTGTCTGCAGCAGCAGCAAAGACGTGCATAATGTATTACCCCTAAGGTATGAATTATTGAAGGGCTTCTTCATTCCTTCATTCATTCATTCCTTACTTTCAGACGTTTCTTACCTCGGCACTTTTCTCACACTCTTCCCCACCACATCATCATCTCTTTTTTAACACGTACTCTCCTCTCAAAATGTTCTCCCCCCTTTCTTTTTTTCAATCCCTCATTCCTTTCTAGCCATTTCCTATCTTTTTTCCTACTTTCTTTCAACTTTCATTTAAAATTCTGCATCTTTATGGCATTTTAGATGAAAGTTTTTTTGATGAATTTCTTTTCAGTTTTAATCATTTGATTCTCTTTCCTACCTGATGAACCAGACAGCAGTCAGTAAGTACTCAGCGCGCTGGAGTTCAAATGCAAACGACGTTATTTCATTACATAACCGTTAGCATCTACCTGGTTCATAATGATGATGTTCTCTTTGTTGTTGTGGTTGTTACATTCATCGGAATTTTTGTTGTTGTTGTTCTGTTGTTGTTGGTGGTGGTGGTAATTATTGTTATTACTTTTTTTTCTAAGTTCACACCGCTGATCTCTTCATACTTTAAAAAGCAGTTAAAATCTTTTTTGCTATTAAACCAAATTTCTTGAAATATTATTCCATTTCAAGAACCACAAAATGTGTAGCAATGTCACAAATGTTGCAAAAACAATCTCAGTTTAGAATTTATACTATACTATTTCATAATATTTAACAAGCCGACTAACACACAACCGAAACGAACTATAATAACCTTCAAACAAACCATGTTAAAACAAATGAATTTTTTTATATTTATTAGCAAAATAGCAAAAGATTTTGTGAATGTTTCACCAAAACTGACAAATATTTTTATATAAAAATAAGTAACAACTGAAATACTCAGTACAAATTATTGTCCATCAATGCGCAAGTAAAACAAAAAATCGCAACAATGGAACTGGAGATTGTAAAAAAAATATTTTTTCAATAATTTTTGTTATAATTTTTCTTTTGGATTCATTCAACACTCAAAGTGACGTGCTTGCTGTTGTTGACGGTTGGTTGTTGTGTCAGGACCGTTATAAATATTCATGTTTGAATTAGTAACTTGAAGTGGTCTTCAACCAAGTGAATTATTGTTTATGTTTTTCGACATTATTGCATGCATTAGCTTCACAAACAAATTTTAAAAAAAAATTGATTCATTTGTGTAAGATGACTAAACCAAAAAATCCAAACGCGCCTACACATCAGAAACTTAAAAACTGAAAAAACTGTACGAAGAAACAAACACATGCAGAGGCACACACTCCAGCATATGCGCTTCGACACCATGTGAAAAAATAATTTTAGAAGCTAGATTGGTTGTATCATTCATTTTGAACTGAAACAAACTGAATGACGAGGTCCTTTTTCTTTTTTTCTTTCTCTCTTTCTCTTTCTCTCCTTCTCCATGTATCTTTCTCTAACTTTTAAATTTTCTTAGTTTCATTTTCCCTCCTCTAAATTTGGTTTATCTGTGAAAACACCAACGTCGTCACTACAAGTCTGACGAAAATTTTAGCAGGAAGTCAAATGGAGGAGATCACACGAGATGTCACCTATAAGAACGATCTTGCACCTACTGAAGAAGAAAAAAAATCATTTTTGAGATACATGGAGCCACCTGTGCAACAATCCCAGCTGCAGTTTATTTGTTTGTTCGTTCGTTCGTTCGTTTGTTTGTTTGTTCGTTCGTTTGTGTTTTTGTGCTTGTTTTAACATTGAAAAGAGCAGTGATGAGTGTTTTGAAAATTATTTTTTATTAAATTTACTCCTTCGTGCTCTCAGTAATTATTTTTTTTTGTCTTTCCAGGTGATGTTGGTTTGGAAGAGGGCAGGCAGCCCCGTCATCATCATCATATTCATGGAACATCTCTCCTCTTTCACTTCACTCTCCTCTCTCTCTTCTCTCTCTCTCCTCTCTTTCTTCTCTCTTTCTCCTCTCTCTCTCTTCTCCCTCTCTTCTCTCTCTTTCTTTCTCTTTCTCTCTCTCTAGTTAGTTATCATTTTTTCTCAATCGAGTTTAAATTCGAGGTCATTCATTCATTAATTCATAGTATCAAAAGTGGAAAATGAATGAATAACAGTTGTTACAAAATAAATAAATGAAAAAAAGTAGTTTACAAATATGAAAATCATAAATGAATGAATGAGTGAATGAATGAATGAATGAATGAATGAATGAATGAATGAATGAATGAATGAATGAATGAATGAATGAATGAATGAATGAATGAATGAATGAACGAACGAACGAACGAACGAACGAATGAATGAATGAACGAACGAATGAATACATAATTGAACGAAAAAGTAAACAGATAAATGAACGAATAAATAGGTGACTGGTTTTATAGAGAAAGCGAGTTGTCAATTTTATAAAAAAAAATAAACTAATCAAATAACTTTTAATAAAAAAAATATTTTTACACCATTATGAATGTTACGCGTAAGTTTGACAGCAAAAGCGAAAGGTTGCGCATACGCACTTTTTACAAACGCATCTCATTATAATTGAGGTAATAATAGTAGTAATAATAATAATATAATAATAAAAATAATAAAAATGTAGTTAAGAGAATTCATAAAAGGTAAAAATCAGCGAGAAAATTTCATCAAAGATTAGAATGTATGGAGTATCAAATTATAACAATATTTAATTCAATAACGGACCTTGCCATCGCTATTAGTAAGCTCAGGAAGTGACTTCCACGGCGACTGTTGCAGATGAACGTTGTGTGACGTCATAACTTTTTCCACATAGGTCATCGTTTCGTTGAGAATGTTGGCATTTTCTTTAGAGGCACTCAATCGTTGGGCTATGATCAGCTTGGCACGAAGGAAGTACCCCATGGGCCAGATCCACTCCTATGTTGAAACGTGGGGTAGATGGGATGATCAAATGTGCAATATCACGTGTACAATAACAATAGGTTCATTTCAAAAAGGTTATTCAAAATGATAAAAATTTAGTTGATTTTTAAATAAGTATGCAAGTCTAGCGATTAAAAAATAGATGTAATAAATAGCTAGAAAAACTTACAGGTCCCTGGTGGTAGTTGAAGCCTCTGGACCTTTTGTAGTCGTCACTATCGTCGCCGTTGTAGTAGTCGCCAACGTAGTTGTAGTCGCTAGAGTTTTAAAAAAATTCAAATTTGTTTTTGAAATAAAAATTTTCGTCTTTTAATAGTTATGCAACGTCAGTAAATCTCTATGCAGTTTATAAATAGAGCGTGTGGTTTGAGATCATTTGCCGAAACCCTGAAATAAAATCAGTCATTTCCTATGTCACGATAACATACTTCTTAAACAGCATCATCATCATCATCAATATTACCACCCAAACAGCATCATCATCATTATTAACATCCAAAACTTCATCAGCGTTGACAATATCAACAAACATCATCGTCATATCTGACTTTCAAAGAAAGGTAACATCATTTTTCATCTTTCAGTAACGATTAAGCACTAAGGCTATATATATATATATATATATATAAACAATTAAACAACTGTTGGCATTAAACAATTTAAAATTTGTTTTTTCAATTTTCCTCACTAGAATTTTCTGGAAATTGTTCAATTTATTGAAAATAGAATTACTATCCAAGTTCATCATGACAATTTAATGGAACTGATGTTTTCCAAATTCATCATACAGATAGGCCATATTTCAATTTTTCACAAATCATCTTTTATAAGATTTTATATATATATATATATATATATATATATATACAAGATTATATATACAATATATTTGCATATTGAAGTAGTTAGCTTTCAGATGTGACATTTGGCAGTCTACTAAATTATTAATGAAAAAAAAATGAAAAAAATAAAATGAAAAACTGCTTCTCACATCTAAAATCCAGTTTGCACTTTTAGGAAAAAATACAATCAACCACCTACGCTGGCGTTTGCATTCCGAAATAGATTCTAATGCAGACAGGCGTTGTTGTTCAAACAAGTTCAGTAACTTTCACAACAAGAAAGAACATAGCAAGCCACCGAAATGTTCAAAATGTGAGAATTTCAAATATCAAAAAATATTAGCAGACCTTAGCTAAAAATTTGTATGATTTTGAAAAAATTTTATATAAACTTTCACTAATAACGTGATCTGCCATTAAATTTTGTGAACAGATATTAAAATAACATTTGCAGTCTGATGTGATAAAAGATGAGACAATACTTTTAAAATAAACTTTGAATGGAATACTTTGCATGTTGTTAGCACCAACGTAATCAATTTATGAAATTAACAAGTGATCTTCAAAATTCTATCTAGCTATTCAGCAACACACTAAATTTTCAACCCATCAGTTAGAGACTTAGGTTTCCCGAATGAAAACTGTGCGGTGTGTTTATAAAGGATTGCCTTAACCGTTAAACAAGTATTGGCCGTTTTAAAATAGAAATAAGAGCTAAAACAACTGTTCGAATAAATATGTCGTGATTAAAACAGTAGAGTAATGCATATTGATAGGATACGAATGTGTGTCGACCAAGCCAGTTGATTAATCATGCTACGTAATAATTTTGATGAGAATATATGACACTGGCGATATAAATGATGACGACGACGACGACGATGGCATTTACTCATATGAAGGTGTTAAAATAAAACAGAAAGTGGAAATTTCAATTTAGATAGAAAAAAAACTTCATTTATAAAAGCTCTCTGCTAGAAACTTTTTCAAATCAAAATAAATGAATATAAACAATGGAGCGTTTAATTAAAGCCATCAAATGAAAAATGTTTGAGAATATAGCCGGTGAGTCAGACGAATATCATCTCATACAAAAGAGAACGTATGGAATGAAAAATAGTGGAAAAACTGGATGTTTGTTCCGATGAATGCAAGGAATTAACATACAGAAAATCAGAAGCGAATAACAACATGTAAGCAGTGACACTCACACGTAAGAACAAGCCTCATATGAGAATATACAACCATCCGTAAACATATATTAATACAAAAGCGCTTCTTTACGACACGCTTGAAATCAAGATAAATAAGAAGAAGAAGGAATGTTAGATGAAATGCATTGATCACTTACGACTTCTTCACATGATGACATTCAGTAATAGTGGAGAAAAATTTATTCCGAGCGTTTTGTCTTGCAGAGGTTTTTGGACAAATGTGAAACAGTTCTTAAACTGTTCAAATAATCCTCTCTGTGCAGAAACAAAACGTGATTCTATCTTTAAATTATTGAAACCTTTGATCCAACTAAGCAACTTGACATAATGTATTTCAAAAATTTCTGTCTTCGTCAAAATCAACAATCAAGCAACAGAGCTTTTTATTTGAGTTGTGATGTGGTGTGGCAATGGCAATTTGCCAATAAGTTTTAAATAAGTTTCTGTTATTCAGTTACTGCAAAATAAAAAACTGGCGATCAACTTGAAAGAAGAATGAAAAGTCGTATAATTGATGACATCCATTAGACGAAGATTTTAAAAGTCACGAAATTTTAGTAAAATTAATCATGCTCTGAGAGGTAAATTAGTTGGGGAATTGAGATAACTTAAATTGATGAAACTATTTTTAAAAAATTCAAAAGTATTTCTTGAAACATTTTACCAAATAAGACACTCGGATTATGTATGCGCTGAAAATGCCACAAGAATATCGCAGTTGCCAAATAATAAAATTCAAAGTTTACAATGCAGAACAAGTTGGCTCTTATATTAAATATTAATTTTACAGAAATGTTCCAAAAAAATTAAATTAAATAAATCAAATATTGAACATCGAGTTTAAAAATGTGTGCAAATAGGTTCAAATATTTCACCAGCTTTCAAACGACGGCAATGAAAATTATACATGAACACACACACACACACAAACAAACAAACACACTGCAAAGTATCAACATAATATCTGCGTAATTCTGACACAAATAAGCTCGTACTAAACTTCTTCAAAAACTGAACATCATTTACCCTAAAACGGATAAACTATCATATCAAAACCTCACAACAAACATCATTACAAAAAATATCATGTTTAAAAAAGTCTCACTGTTGAAAATAAAACAGTATTCAAGCGCAACATTCCACACACAATCAACTTCGACACACAAACAACAAACCATATGGCGCACGCTGTATAGCAAAATATAGAATATAATACTAACACTAACCCTACATATCCAACATAAACGAAACCGTCCACATACAAATGACACAACCCACATAAACACCACACGCAACATAGAAGCGACAAACCACACTAAACGCAATATACCGCATGCAAACGACACATAACCCAACACTCTGTATGGCGCACGCTGTATAGCAAAATATAGAATATAACACTAACACTAACCCTACATATCCAACATAAACGAAACCGTCCACATACAAATGACACAACCCACATAAACACCACACGCAACATAGAAGCGACAAACCACACTAAACGCAATATACCGCATGCAAACGACACATAACCCAACACTCTGTATACAAATCCCATTCAACATACTGCACAACACTCCACATACAAGTGTCACACTACACACAAACAAACAAGCCACACAACAGCATATAAACACAACACCAGACATACGAAGTGTCAACAGAACACGTGCAGAATGAATAACGCAAAGAAATGTGGAGTTTGGTTAATGGAGAAGAGAAGGAGCGTGTGGTGTGAGTATGTGCGACCGTTTGCTTTTCTATTCGCCACTTTCAAGTTTCAACTTACATTGTAGTCCCTGACGTACTTAAGAAATTGAATTCCAGAATTGTCTTCCTATATATATTTTATATATACTCTGTGGGATATTATATATAATATATATATTTATATTTTTTTTCATCAAATATCATAAGGGTAAGTGTTATCACTAAATTCTCGATTGTGCAAAGTGTTACATTAACGATCGTGTATGTTATGGACCGGCAGACATCATCTTTTAACGAAACGAAAGCCTAATTATTTGAGACAAATAAAATTAAGATTTGTTTTAAATTAAACTGTTTGAAATATAACGATGGTTTTAAATTTTTGCAACCACTACAATGCTTTTACAATTTCTGAAAAATTTTTCATTTGCGTAAACATTGCGTAAATATCAGAATGCAAGATAAGAGAGAAGAAATATGGCACCACCAGAGGGAGCGAAACAAAAAATATTCTTTAAAATGGAGCAAGAAAAATGGAAAGAAACAAAGTGGAATGCCAAAAAAATGAAACTCAAAGCAGATGGAACACGTGCACATTATAAGCAATGAATTTGATATTTCATAAGACTAATGATCAAGATAATTGTTCTTATCGTGTGACCATTAAAATCTTTCTTCTACAGTTACCATCATTTTAACAGCGAAATATCCGCCTACATCACTATTATTTCCATAGTTCACATTATTTTTATCACTCTCATAATCATATTCATCGCATCATCGTACCCACCTGCTTTAGTTATTCAAAACAATATTGATAGCATAAAAACAAAACATTATTTATCATTAAAGCGCCAAAAATTATTTGCAACTTTTGAAGTTTTGCATTTTCTGAAAAAAGATAGAAATTTCGTAACAGTGAAAAATCGTGAACGAAAACCAACCAAATTCATTTTACATGGTGGAATGAATTTTAAATAAAAAGGAAATGATGAGGATATTACCTTCATTAATGAAATTTAACAAATGCAATGAAAAAATAACAGAATGTTTGTATGATTAATAAGATGGCCGGAGCAATGCCTGCCAACGCAAACAGTTTTATTGCTCTTTCTCTTCTTATAGATGATGGTGATTTCAAAGATGTCAAAAGTGTCGTTCTACGGAGAAAATGAACCGAACGCAGTTAACAAAAGATAATAATAATAATAATAATAATATAAGTTTAATTTGATACCGTTTTGTAAAATTGTGACACTAAGAAAAATTAAAACTGAGTTGATAAAATTCTAACTGCAACAGTTTCTATCGTTTGTTACCGGTTAACACACGCTGTGCAGTAGCAGCAGTGCCATCAGCTACGAAGCAAACAATGTCGGTCTCGGGTACTGTTTCAATTTAATTCCATTTGTAAGCAGCCTTCTAGGGGAAAGAGCTCTGCTAATCTACATGACATTTAAATAAATTTAAAAAAGATTAATTAACAGTAGCAGTAGCTACAGCGGCGATTGTGGTTATGGTTTACTACGGTAGCAAAAATTAGTAGCAGTATTGAGTAGCGGCAGTAAAACTAGCAGCAACGGTGGTTGTTGTGGTGGTGGTGATAATTGTAGCGCATGCGGCTGTAGCAGTGGCTGTTGTAATAGTAGCGGCAATAGTAGCCAGCAGCCACTAATTGAATATAAATTGCTTTTTACTGATGTTATTAATGAATAATAGAATCCTTGCGTTGCGCAAATATCCATTGTCAATGGTTTTTTACTTATCCGTCATTGCGCTAGCTGACATTTGCGTCTGTTATATTATACTATGATTTATCGTTAACGTGCATTTTTATGTCAAAATTTTAAAACATTATTGCCAACTTTTCATTTAATATTGTTAAATATTGTCACGGTATTCTCCAACCAGAACATCAGCCAGCATCAGTAGCGACTATGTGAGCACCATAAAGAAAAACGCGATTTCCAGAAGACCATTTCAAATGCTGACGTCTCGATAATAATCGGTAGCATTAATACCATCGACTGTATGGCTACCGACCCTTTGTTGTTATGGTGGACGGGAAGAGATAAATACGATCAACAGTTGCGCTTTATTAACCCGCGTAAACCGACCGACTGTATTTGTGCGCGTGTGTGTCTGTCTGTAAGTGTACAATGTATGTGTGCGTACGTGCATGTGTATGCATGTTCGTGTTGAGTGTGCGTATATGAGGATGAATTTATAATTATTTCGTAGTTTAATTATAGATATGTACTGAGATGGCACTCGCCTCGTACATTTTGTAAAAAAAAAACAAGAAATACAACAACTGCAACAACAATAGCAATAAATACAACAACAATGACAACAACAAATACAATAACAATAACATGAAATATTAAGTCAAGATTAATCTATCGATAAGGTTACAAATGTAATATGGCCGGTAACCAATTATAATTATTGTTACTACCAGAAAGTATAATTTTTACCAGAATCCTGTATGACATGACGTCACGGCTGTTGTGACGATGTTGTTGTTGAATCTTCAACTCTTGCCAGCGTTTAGTATTTAAAGTTTATCACGTTTTAGCTGCGTTTCAAGGTTGTCTTGTTAACGCATTTTCACGCTACCGTAGATGTGATGATGTCAAAACATTTTTAATAATTCGTCATCATTATTGTTATCATTTCGATGAACACGAAAAAATCCAAACAATTCGCCGCATAATGTTAATGATCTAAAGTAGCGAACCAAAAACTGAAAGATAATTCATTGAAACAAAATCACAATCATTACCATCATCATCACCACCATCGCTACCGTTACCATCATCATCACCATCACCATCATCATCGTCTTCGTCGTTTTTTATAATAATTAATGACTTTAATTATCTTTATTGCAGTCATATATATATAAAGCTTTTGTTAACGATACTGTCATTGTTACTGTTGTTATTGTTGTTATTATTATTATTATTGTTGTCATTGTTGTTGTTATATATATATAATATTATTACTAATATAAATAATGATGTTGTATTAGTAGTTGTAGTAGTAGTCGTTGTCGTCATCGTAGTAGTAGTAGTAGTAGTAAAAGTAGTAGTAGTAGTAGTAGTAGTAGCGGTAGTAGTAATAGTAGTTGTAGTAGTAGTAGCAGTAGTAATAGTAATAGTTTCAATAATACTGCCGTTAGTGTTACAACTTTTCATTATTATATTAATATTAAATCGAATAATAATATTAGTAGTTGTAGTATTTTTATTATTATTATTATTATTGGTATTATTATTGTTATTAATGTTTTGTGGAACTTTGTCATCTTGTGGTAGCATTAGAGGCATGGAAAAAAGGAGCGCGGACTGCAGTTTGAAACATTTTTTATCCCACCTTTTACTCTTCATTCCGTTTCATCATTTATTTCATCTTTTTTTATTATTTAATTTTATTCATTTTACTTTTAAAAATTTGTAAATTGATAATTTCCGGAAGATGAACATACAAAAATGGGATGAAACGAAAATTGAAATAAACATCAGCGATTATTTAGCGGCAAGGCAAAACCAACGACAACAACACAACAAATCGTGCTGCAGCTGAAAATGGCAAAACATATTCGTCTTTTACTCTGTACATAGAGGATGCAATATTGTGGTCATCCTGTCAATTCATGTTGTTGTTGTTCTTAATGTCATCAATATTGTCATATCTATGTTTTTTTGTTAATAATGTCATGAATGTCCACAATCGGCATCAACAACATTGTCATCATCACTAACACAATAATACGTCACAGTTAACAAGCAGTACTATCATCATCATCATCACCGAAACTGCAACCATCAACATCATCATCAGCACCATCAACAAAAATATTGCCTCACAAACAACAGCATCGACAAAAAAATCAGCATTTTTTTTGGCGCGAAGGACAGAAGTCATAAAGAAACAATAACAACAAAACAAACAAACAGCACATATTAGCATTCATGAATCATGCAAACATATCGCCTGTTCGCTCCGTGCTAAACATACTTTAAAGGCCTCCACGTTTAACTGAGCGCCTGTGTACAAGTATATATACATGTGGTTTGTATGCATATATGGATGAATGTGTACAAGTATGTATGTATGTATGTATGTTTGTATGATATATGTATGTTTGTACGCATATATGTAGTTTGTATATCGTGTGTGCGAACATGTGTATGCTTATATTGTATAAATATATGTATGTATGTGCATCTGTTTGTACGTGTGTCATGTTTAAATAGGTATGTAACTTAGTAAATGTATAAGCAAACAAGCACCCACAAAGATAGAAACATTTAAAAGCGTTGCAAACATTAGAAAGCAAGTACTCATTAAAAAACATATACAAATGGTAACCCTGGTAGAAGCAAGCAGACGAGGCAAAATTTTATATAAATGCATGCATCAATGAATACACATAAACACAGATGAATAGATACACTACAAAAAACACAAACAAACATGCACTAGACAAACAAACATACAAACAAACAAAATACAAATATACTACTATTCATTAGGCAACAAATGTGAATTAATGCGCTTACGATGCGCAAACCGCTCATAAATTGAACAGTGCAGAAAAAGCGGGAATGTACCGATGCTGAAGGCTTCGGTCGGTAGCCGGTCGGTCCGTTCCGTTACGTGATTGAACTCACGCCGGTGCAGCAAGTAGTCATTTACAATGCAACATTCGTCTAATGTAACCGTCGTCAATTCTAATCGACATTTTTTCATCAAATAAATTTCAGTGATAGCAAAAAGAACAATGGCTTTAATGCACATTTCAACAACAACAACAAACAACAACAACGATACTTATAAATGAATGAAAATGATATTTATATCAGAAGAATAAATTAAAGAACATCTCCGTCAACATCAGCATCGCGTTCACCATTTTCAATTGTCATCGTCATCATCATCGTCATCATCATCGTCATTATTATCATAACCACTCTTTGGTCGTAATCAAATTACCATCAACATCATCATCCTTATTATCATCATCATCAAAATCAACACGCAGGTACCAACCTTGGATCAAGAGTTTTAACACCGAGCGGACCAACCAGATACTTCTCCAGCATGTTGAGGGCCTGCCACGCGTGGTGCACCTCAAACAGGTCAGGGCACTGTTCGATGAGGTCACGTGTTTATTTATGTTCCATAAAGGGTACGTGCTCGTACATGTTCACTCAACATTATGACTCCATGCAATAAATTTCACACAAAATAACAGGTTTTTTGAACTTCCAACGCAAGCATTATTAGTTCATGACTGGCATATCAAATTCCGCACAATTTGAAATTAAAATAATTAATTCCCCACCAAAAAACAAACTGAATCTGCTTCTGCTGAACCGCTTCTGCTTCAAAATGTACTTAAATGTGCCATTTTTTCAAAAAACACGTTTTAAAAAAAGTAATTTAAAATGTAAATTTAAAAATTAATGTTTAAAAAAATGTCTGTATGTTCTCTAAAAACGAAACTCACAACGACAATGGCAATGGGAAAGTTGCATCTCAACTGGTAGTCGGTGTACTTCCTGCTTGATCCCAGGGAATCCTTGTAGATAGATTTCCTGTTGACCAATTGGATGTCGTGGATGGTGGGGTCCAACGTTTTCATGGGATCAATCCAGAAGTATTTCTCGAAATAGCTTCGTATCAGGTCGTACCATTGGGACCAGGTGTGAGTTTGTGAACTGCTGTCTGCTCGTTGTCAATCATTCAATGAGTAGACGGATTGTTTATTTAATTAAATCAACAACATACTTACAATTATTATCTAACAACTGAATCAAAAAAATAGATTATTATTATTATAAACAAAATTAAACAAATCAGACAAAACTTTATCGAAAAAATATTTCCCCCAACCAACCTACAACATGTGGATAGGGGTAGAGGTGGTTGGCATGCATTGAAGACAGCCAATGAACGACGGAGGCAGACAAGCCGATCAACTCGACGGCTGAACCATCTCTGTTTTAAATGTTTGCATGCGTCAGTTGGAGAACGAAGAGATTGAATGGTTGCATGGTGGCTAGTTTTGACGGACTGCGACATTAGCAAACGATTGGTGAATTATTCAATGAATTGCTTTCCTTTATTTGTTCAATAAAGGTCACCCATAAATCATTGGACAGTTTGAACACTTCTAACAAAATTACAAACCAATCAAACGCAACAAGCTGAGCATTTTAATTCATATTTATTTGCAAACAGAAGCTGAGGACTCGAGAATAGCTTGTAAAGCCAACAAAATATTCAGGAACAACCAGCAACAATCACACTTGATTCAACGACCAACCTCGGAGTGGCTGGAACTCCCTTGTTTCCTGCCTTCCAGGAACTTCCCATCTTGTCCATCCACGTGCCACAGTTGAAGTCGTTGCCTCCGTAAACAAATCCAGTCCTCCAGTCAATTCCTGCATCGACGTTGAAACCTGTTTCAATCGAAATTCATTACATCTGTGACGAAATAACATTCAAATTTGATGCAAAGCTCCTAGAATAAATTTCAGAAAGCGAGATTTATAAACGAAAAAATAAATGTGTAAATGTTGGCGCCACATAAATATGTAACATTGTCAGATAGATGACAAATACATTGACGAAAAACGACCTTCATGTTTCATCTCTGAATCAATTTGGTTGCCAGCATGTCGTTCTCTAAACCTGATGCCAGTTGCATGCCTCTGCAGTGCTTCCTGCATCACTTCCTCTAATGTCTGGTCCTTCAATTAAAAGATATTCGTTGAAACTTTTGTACGTTAAAAAACTAAAACAACCATAAAAATGATATTAACAAACATTATAAACAACAACACATCGAGAGACATCAGCAATCAAAACACAACATTAACTCTAACACGTCAAAAAGCCATCAACTAAAAAAAGAGTAAAGCACCGAACGAACCACATGAACTGTGACAGGAGCATCATCGCTGGGATACAGTCTCATAACCCGATCCTTCAGGATAGATGATCCGTTGGGAGCGAGTGAGCAGAAGTCTTTGATACACTGCAGCCAGAACCAGACCGCATCCCGGCAGTTGTATCGTGCAGAGATGCCTGCCGAGTTTTAAAGTACAAAGTACAAAAAACATCACTTCTGAGTTTAAAAATATCAACGATAAATTCACGACCAAGCAATCTACTAGGCATACCTTCTCCGAGCAAATTGGGAATCAATCCATGCCTCAAGCAGCCAGCATATCCGAGAATTATGAATCTGGCTTCAACGTACCTGCCTGTGATGATGAGGTTGCCTCGGAGGGAGATGAACGTGTCTCGTCCCCAGTTCCTGAACAATCCAGTGGAGAAGTGCGGAAGCCCTTAATGATTCACGTGAGTTTGCTTCTTGTCGGCAAGTTGTCGTGGTGTGCTTACAAATGAACAGTCATGTACAGTACATGTGCAAGTCGGCTCAGTGTTGTTCGTATTTGAATGATGTATGTGTACAAATTTATGACGATGACTAATGAAATAATTTAGTAACTGCAAAATAATCAGACAGCAGAGCTAACCAGCACAGAGTGTGGTGCATGCCTCGACGGTAGAACCATCGAAGTCAACGTGCTTTGGAGGGTGAGGTTTGGATAGAGAGCTGGAAAGTTTGGGTAACTTTGCACTCCGTACGTAACTGCACATCTGCACTGATCCTAAGCTCAAGTCACGAACGAACTTTGAGCCATCACTTGTAAATCTATCAAAACATGAACATTCTCTGATCGAATTTAATCTATTTTTTTATTATTTTTATTAGTAAACAAAAATAAATGCCTAAATAAATTTAAATACGACATAAGACAACGTAACAACGTACGTGGACATTTTGTCCCAGCAGGCATCCACCGCCATAGTGCAGACGCCATTGACAACTGCATCGAAGTAGGAAGGGATCAAGTACCTAGGAACTTTTTTGAGGGCAGCAAACGTATTTTCAAACCATTTGCCCAACTGGAGGAATGCGAAAACATTTTAAATATTATTAAATAAGCTATTTTAAAAATATTTCTTGTTCAATATAAGGCAGTTTATCCATAGGTGCTTATAAATACAAAATATTGAAAAAATAACTTGACTGACAACATTTAACAACAGGAGCAAAAAAAATTTTACGATTCCTTTCACTCCCTTAGAAACAACACCTCAGACAACAAAACAACAACATCCTAACCCTAACCAACCTGAGCAGTTCCCTGGTGAGCCAGAAGTCTGTTGGCGATGTAGTCCATCAACCAATCCCCTTGCCTCAAGTTGTCACATAGAGGATGGCCGAGATCATTCGATGGTCGAATTTTGTCCAGTAAGAAAGACAAACCTAAATTTCAATTTCATTTTCAAGAATTGAAAAACCAAAAACTAATTTTTACAAAACAGTTTGTGGCCTTATAATATCAGTTACGAAAGCTTACAGTGACTTGCACAATCATAACGTAAAAATTGAAATTATTCCCTTCCGCTTTTATAACACTTACTCACAAATAGAACAATCATTTCTATCTTTCACTCCATCAGATATCATTTACCTTGCAATCCGCAGTAGGTCAGTCTTCCAAACCTCGGAATATCATAAGCGCCAAATCCTTTGCCATCATCCCGCTCCTCTGCATCTGATCTGAACAAAACCCTATTCAAGTCATTGAGGGACATTTCCTGGAGAATGACCTCAAGTGGGCTTGCGGTCAGTGAAACCTTCCTGGAACTCAACGTTTTCATCTGGTAACCAAAACCAGACAAAATTTGGCGGGTTTTCATGAAAGCTGGTCTGACCTCTTCTGGAGGGAGAACTCTGAACGGAAGTGATTTAATGAGTCAGTTAGATGTTTGTGCCATGTCGGCGGTTGAATGGCTGTGCTATATAGGTGGTTGTCATTTAGATGGTTGAATGATGATTGAGCATGAATGTTTGAATACTCGAATATCAGATAATAAAACGTAAAAGCAAGACAAACTTGAGAACAGCAATAGCACCAGGAACAAGATTGTGGAAATGAATGGTGTTAGAGTTGGTATTTTCCGGATCAATTATTTTTAGAATTTTACTGTGGGTCGCCTGGATATTTTCGGATAGGGAAAGTTTATAGTTGTTGAGGCCATTTATGTGATCATCCTGTTTGACAAACTCTTCCTCGCGATCTTTCTGCAGAAATCCTTCGATGATAATTTCATCAACGACACCTGGCGAAGACGTGAAGATGTCGACAGCAATAAAAAATATCATCACCGTTGCACTTGGACAGATTTAAAATCGGAAATAAGTACTAAAAATTTTACATAACAAAACTAACAACAGTATCGTTTCGACATTAACTGAAAAATTGTAATGTTTAAATGCAAACCAATTTCGATACAGTTACAACAGTTGCGCTTAATTTTATTAGACCAAGTGTAACATTAAATATAATCAGTTAATTTATTTGATCGTAACAAAAATTTCCACTTAATAGTCGAATTAATGAAATAATGAGGACGAGCAGCAACAACGAGCAGCAGCTAGGAGCAGCAGCTACTAGCAGCAGCTACGAGCAGCAGCTATGAACAGCAGCTACTAGCAGCAGCTACGAGCAGCAGCTACGAGTAGCAGCTATTACGAACCGGGAATGGTGATGTTATGCAGTGATCCTCCTCTATCGTTGGCACGGAAGCAGGTGTGGGCGTACAAGATGACGGACTGATGGGATACTGGATTGTGACGTGTTATCGACATTACCTCGTCGGTTATCATGTCTACGTAAACCTTAATATGATGTTATTGCGTCAATAATGATGATTATTATCACCACGGCGTTTAAATACTCATTTCTATATTCACAATCATCATGAAGTTTATTTGCTATAGTAATTTATTAATAAGCAGTCTGAACAGAACTGACGATGATGGTATCGTATCATGATACATCATTGCTAAAATATCATCAACATCATGATGCGTGGAGGCATTACGAAGAAACATCATTAAAATAAATCATCACAACACTACATCACCATAAAACAACAACGCAACAACATCAAAATCACAAAATACAACAACAACGCAGCAACACAACGACAACTCGATAAAAACAACGCAACAACAACAACGCAACAGCAACGCCATCATCCTGAGAAGCAACTGACCTCTTTGAAACCAGACCTATCCAGATTAATATGCAACTCATTGAAGAACTTTTTGGCCCTGACGATGCCACTGTTCATATTGCAATGGGTCTTCGGGTTCAACTTACCCTCCACTAACCACTTTTTATACGGTCGACTTTCTTCTACCACATGAATCTAAGAGTGTATTTGTACGTGCATGCATATGTCTGTGTCGTCTGATGGGTTGTTGATGATTTGTTTGTTTGCCTATATAAACTTAGGAACTTTGTGAATGATTATAAAAACAACGATGTTAAACTGATAAACATAAAAGTAGAAAATGAATCAGTTTATTGAAATTAAATCAATATAATAATATTGTTTCAAACAGCTAAAACAATCACAGAATAAATATAAATAATATATCGTTAACTTCAACCACAACCACCCTGAACTACAACAACATAGGGAGCATCATCAACAAAACAAACAACACCTTCCCCCTACCCTCCACAAGGTCATCCACAAGGTCAACGGGGTTTTTAAAAACAACACGAAAGACGCGCTCTACTAATGTGGTGTATTGTAACGAACGCAACAACACAACATAACAACAACAACTAACGTAATGTGGCACCATCTCGTCGTATCCTCTGTTACTTCCGGTTGCAGAACACGTCATTGAGATGATCGCCGTGTAGGATAGCAAGTCCTCTGCCGTGTGTTTCTGTACAATTTTTCAAGTTAGTACTGGGCTCATGTATTCGTTTGTCAATTTACTCGTTCATTCATTAGCATGAAATACTAAATTGTACGTTCACGAGTTCACCTATCCAACTAATCATCCATCCATCATTCATTCACTCATCCAATCTTCAGTGCATCCACGCTACTAAACTGACCTGGATGACACTTTCATTATCATGCGTCTGATCCATGAAGAGTGCATGGGCAACGGATGGCATGATCAAACGTGCGGGCAGTTGGATGAATGAACCGACAGGTGATCCACCGTACCTGTGAACCAACCGACTCAGCTCACGTGCTGTCAAACCATTCAGGCCCTCTGTCACGTTCATGTTAGTTATTTTTATGAAAAAGAGTCTGCAACGACAAGAACCACAACAACAGTAACTATAACAAGAACAAAAATTCTGGAACCTCTGATAAGAGAATTGATACCAAGTCTGTTGATGAACGTGTTGTCGGCGTATTCTGAGTTTGTAAACAATTCTGCTATGACGTATAAGTCTGGTCTCACCTTGCGTGCCTCGTCGAGCATGTACTGTAGTGATGGTTGTGTTTATTTGTGTGTATGTTTGTGTGTGTGCGTGCGTGCGTGCGTCTTCGAACTGGTGGTAATCGGCATCGTGCCTATTAAATTCAATAGCGGTTGACAAAACCAAAAAGTTCATAGAATGGAATTTTGCGCTATAAAATGTTGAGTAGCTATAAAACTAATTTACGAGGACAGCATGATGAATAAATATTATCAAACGGTTTCCTGGCAAATCAGTTGATTCATTATTTGGTAATATATTGTTGAGTATTTTTTGTGTGAAAGGCATGAGATTCATTTGTGTGGTCGCAACGAGTTAGCGAATGATTATTATTGAAGAAAGAAGAAGAGCAACCTCTGCAACGTGGATGGGCGTGCTGTGGCAGTTGTCCAGTCTGACTCCATGGAAGATGCTCGCCGTCTCGGTGGCGTAGTTCTTCATGTACTGCCACAGAAATGGGCAGTCCTCCATTCTGTTGCCATATCTCAGCTTCACACTGTCACCCCAAGGTAACAACTCACGACGAAGGTACACGTTTGAACCTGGTTGGTCGATCAATCGATTGATTAGTTGCATGTTTGATTAGTTGTTTGATCGATTCGCTGGTTGGCTGTCTAACAAAATAATCAGTTAAGATGACATGCAGTTAATTGATCAATAAATTAACCAATAAAAAAATAAAAATTAATGGTTCAATGAATTTTTAAATTCACTCCACCAATGAAACCGTCCTCACCAGGCTCAGCAAAATTTCTCAGCGGGTCATCACTCATGACCCATCCATTGTGGGCCATACAGTAGGCTCCTCCTCTCTCCGTGTTCATCTCTCTCTCCTCCTCTTCCACACTCATCTCTTCTGTCGGCAGGGTAAAGTAGCTGGGTGTGCGCAATGAACATTAGTGATTATTAATTATTATTAAATCTATATCTCAAGTTAATACAAACAAATAAATTTATTTGTTATATTGAATTTTAAAATAATAATAAAAATAATAAAATAAAAAACAGGTGCGATGTAGAGAACCCACACACTTCCACATAAGGGGTGTATCAGGTCCAACAAGACTGAGTCTGAGACCGGCAGGATCGATGAATCTGTACTTGGCATTCGCTATAAAGTTGTTGACTGCCGTGTGCACGTGCTCCATCATCGAGTAGCCACTGGCTGAGTTCAATTCCTGAAGTTTGTGCCGGAGGTTGTCGCAGGCCACGTTGATGCGTATGTCACGTGATATGTTACTGGCTCTTTTGTTTCGTTTGGAAATTGTTGGGAGAAAGATAAATGGGATGGATAGGTGGATGGAAGATTAGATGAATGATTAAATAATGATAAGAGAATGAATGGACAAAAGCAGACGTTGTGGAATTTGAAAAATTTTTCAAACCAAAAATCATTTCAATATAAAATATATATAAATTATGTAATAGAGAGGTAGAATGTGATGAAAGCATGAAGACAACGCAAACAATCTATCCACCAACTCATCCATACGAACTGATTTGAGTAGTAATTCTTGATGGCTTGTGGAATGTCGACAGTACATTCAAGTCTTCTGTATTCAACGTTTGGTATCAGAACTAAATCGGTCACGGGTTTGTCGTCCCCTCGAATGCCACCTGTCATCCAATGGATATTCATCATAGGAAACAAACTTCAATGATGCCAAAATGTTTGAATAAATATTATTAATTGGGATAAAGTTGATTCACTATTTTCTTACATAAATGGGAATTAGCTATTCTGGTGGGTCAAACTTTTTAAACGTTTGAAAGTTAAAAATAATTGTCGAACTTCTTTGCAACTTAAAACATTAAAAAAATATGTTGGTCAAGTGATAAATTTTTATCTTGCAAGAACATTTTATTATGCTCCAACTATTTTTTCAATTTAGATTTGTTGATTGACTGATGTCAAATCAAAAATCATTCTGACACGTCTGACATATTTCACGTCAGTTTTAGCGCATTTTTTACCTATGCAGCCAACTTGAAATAGAATTCCAGACAAAATAATTATTAAAAAAAAATAATAAAAATACTTTCCTTAAAAATCAGATTAAATATAATAACCAATTCAATACGTTGAAGTTTTCTAATTTGCTGTAAATCTTGTATAGATTTTTCATAAGAGTTATACAAGTGAAGTTTATCTTAAAATTGTAAGTTAAATGCGTGCACGATGAATGGATTGGATAACTATATGATTGAATAAAAGAAAGTTCAAAACATCTTTGAAAAAATTCAAAGATATTCTCACTTAGGATGGCAACTTTGAATTGGGCGATAGTTTCTTCGATGTTGCATTGGTGAAACTCCCAAAATTTGTACCTGGGTAAGATATCATCTTCTAAAATTCTCCTAATATTCTGTGAATTTTTTGTGAAAAATATGGTAAATTAAAACTTATAAGCAGAAAGCAAAAAATTCTTGAAAATAAACGAAACAAATTGGTGATAGCAGAAATAAAAGATACAACTGATCAACAACTAACATAGAGATAATGTTCACTATCGAACTTGGCTGGTACACCAAGACTTTCATACAACCCCTTGCCAACATCCATAGAGAAGTGCCAGAGTATCCTGTCCATAAGGTAGGCAGGTTTCAAGTGGGGACTGTTGATGAGGTTGTACGCACACTCCGGATGCTCCAAGATCCAGGGACTTTCGTTGGCAGTGTGGTTGAAGACCAGGTCTGTGAGAGACAAGACGCCCCATTCTTCATTCATTGTGTTCACCAACAGTTTCACGTCATCCATTGTGAATGTTTTATCCTGTTCCGGTTGGGAAATTTAAGTTTTTTAGAGTTAGAGTTTTGGTGATATTCACTGGTAATGAAATGTTCTAATATGTTTACATGAATTATCATTTCAGACGATTTGGTGTTACTAATGAATTAAAAATGACCATACATAATGATTGAAGTGTAATTTTTAAGCAATAAAAAAAAATAATTTTTTATATAAATTAAAAAACATAATTTATGCCAATGGTCAACAATGACAAGTATCATCACTTTAAACAACAATAACTTAAAATATTTAATTGAAAAAAACAAAAAAAGAAAATTAAAAAACCTTCTGAAAAGAAAATTTTTCAAATATCAAGAATTAATCTCTCAAAACATTGAAAACCTTGCTAGAATATCTGGGATCAAGTTTTCGTTGATCTTTCAAACAGTAACAGGAATCTGATTTGCCCAACTCCTGAATGGGAGTGAAGTGAATCATGTTGTATCCCGACTCCTTCGACACCATCAATCTGGATGCCCACTCTAGGAACGGTCCCAACAACTTGGGCATGACAGTTTGGCAGCAGATGGAATCAAGAGGCAGTCGATCATCCATTGATCCTGTTCTCAAAATGGGATCCACAAGGAAATAGCCACCTCCATTGGCTTTCAATCTGTTGTCACTGTGTTCATGTGTTTACATATTATTGTACAAAATAAAACTAAATAAATAAAAAATCTTTCTTTGAAATAATTTAGGCTCATTGCTTGAGCAATCTCTTCAATATAAATAATAAGCTATCAATGACAAATGTCGAAAAGACAAATTATATTGGGACTGACCGAAAACTACAAACATACCAATGAATCAAATAATAAAACTAGTTGAATAAAAATAAACGGGCGGCTAAATTTTTCTCACGTTCCATTGATAGTGAAGTAATAATTGTACGATCCTGCTATCACCATGTTGACCTCGGCATAACTGTTGTAATTGTCTGACTTCTGAACAGATTCGTTCATCCAACTCAACTCTCTATATATGTATCTGTTGGGCCCACTCTTTGCATCCAACGGATGGTTGACAAACAGTCGAACAGGCAGGCCAGTCAGTGATGCATCCAACACAAAATGTAACTTCCAGCCTTTTGAGATCAGGATAGAAAAGATTGAAACAAATTCAGGTTAAAAGTTTAATAGTTTCAATACTGAATGAATAATAAAAGAAGAAACTTTGAAAAATAAAATTTACAAAACAATTAATTTAAATAAAATAAAGATATAGTAACCAAAACCAAAAATAGAAACAACAAATAATAATATAATATTAAAAGACCTCTTTCAAGTCTGTACAACGTTGCTTCGTGCATGTCTCCATGCCTCAGGACCAACAACCTCAACTGACTTTGAGATGCCATGATTCAACTGACGCAATAAAAAGAAAATAATTTGATTATGTCAACATATTTTATCAGAATTAAATTAATAAATCAATTATTTCGTGACCAACAAATCACTGGGAGAAACTGAAATTAATTACCAGCTAACAACTCAACAACAGCGCAAAACAAAATTTATTTACAAAAAATTAATAAGTTAGCTGTTAGACTATGGAAAAATACTTTTTTAAATTGACTAGTTAGAAAAGTTACTGGTTGGTGACATGTTACAATGTAAAACTAAAAAATTTCAAAGTCAGACTCAGTACGGCAAGTATGGAAGAGGATTAAATTAAATTAAATTAAAGTAATATAATAATTTGCAATGATATACAACAGCCATCTCTTATAAACATTATTGCACTTAATGGTCTTAATGTTATCTTATGATGCTTTACGAGCAATGTTATGCAGTCATCTTTTAACTATATCATATTATTATCGGCTATAATTTATGAATGATCATATGATGAGAATGAATGATGATTACAAAACTATTAATATTAATAAAATAAACTAATAATTAATATTAATAAATAAAGTATAGTATTGATTGAGTTGAGACAAGACAGTGGTGCATTATCTGCCTTGATATGTAAAGGGATGTGTTTACTTTGAAGCCTGTAACTGTAACATGAGTATGATGAGTCCAGTCATGTCATGTGCACACTGTTGTCATGTCACGTGCACGTTGCTGATTGTGCACGCACGCGCAACGACACGACTTTCAGTCGACCTCAGCAAACCAGGCATAAAAATTAGGAAATTAGTTAAATTCAAAGCCTGATTGAGCACTAATACTCACCTCAAATTTTTTCAAAAAAAGTGTGTCGACGGCAGCATGAAGTGTGAATCGGACGGGAAATGAATGAATAAAGTCAATCACTGTCCTTCCTTCCACGGATCACCTAACAAACAACAAACGCCAAGATTATGCAACACAAACTTTAAAAACTTTCATCGTCCTTCACATTCAAATGTAAACAATAACACAATGAACAATAATCATCATTGCAAAGAAATTTATACTTTAGCCAATGTTTGATTTGATTCATATACATATATATATATATACATATATATAAATATATATATATGATTTGATTAATATATATATAAACGAAGGGCAAAGTTAAAAGACAAAGAAAAGCTAATTGAATCAATTTGAATCTTCTCCATTGTTATTGGAGTTAGCATTAAGGCGTCGAGTTTGTAATGACGTAATAATTCTTTGTTGGGTGTTTATTTGAAGTTTGTCGACAGCTAATAGGGCAGATTCTGCAATTTTCAGGTCGTTTTTTAACAAAATATCGAAAATACTTTGAAAATCAATTGAAAATCGTGCAACTATAACTTCATATATATGGGTAAATTAGGCCCGCGCTATCACATTTTGTTAACTTTTCTTTTGGCAAAATTTTTTTCTATTAAAATTGTTCTTTTAACTAAATATTGAAAAATACTTTAAGCATCGATTAAAAAGTTACAACCATAACTTACATTATAGGTGAATATTAGTAATATAAGTGAATTCGTTTTCACGTTGTATGTCATGTTATAATTCCTTAATGGGATAATGAGAAATGCCTTAATGGGATAATGAGAAATGCCTAAAAACCTGTCTGACTACATCACCTTATAGTTAGTTGTATACATAACCTGAACAAGAACATTCATGCACATTAAAATACATTTAGGTTTGATAAATCCTTTGAAACCCTATATATAGAATATATTCTATATATATAGAATATATTCTATATATATATATATATATATATGTGTGTGTGTGTGTGTGTGTGTGTGTGTGTGTGTGTGTGTGTGTGTGTGTGTGTGTGTGTGTGTGTGTGTGTGTGTGTGTTGTGTGTTTGAAACTAAAACGTATAACAATACAAATATAAATAATGAACAATGTAACTGTTATACAAATAAATGCTTATGAAGCTTTAAAGCAAAATATCACACAGTAGTTCAGCTTCCTAACAAATTGCATAAACTTGAAAACATGTGTATCAATAATTGAAAAAGTACATATATGGAGTATAATGAATGAAAGTGACTAAAAAGAGGACGATGGGCCTTAAATAACAAAATAAATTTACAAATATATAAAAAATATAAATGTTTTAAAGATTAAACGTTTGGCAGCTTTATTCTTTCATGCGTTCTTTTGCAGTTCTTCAGAAAAAAATTTTTACAATTGGACGTCTTGGAAAATCGACTGAGAAAAAAATCAAACATGATAACAAAATTTTGTTGAAATAAAAAAATGAAAGGATGAAGTAGAATATAAAAGTAGTAATGAATAACATTAAAAGTCAAGAAAGATGGCTGACATCACATACGAACCTGGTAATTTTTTATAAAATATTCAACGGCACGACACTGTTGACTGATCATTTCAAGTGAAAGTAGAGAAGCCGGTGCAACTACTTCCTGGTCACTTTTTGAAAATATTTTTTGATAAATCATAGGAAAATTTTTACAATTGTCCATTATCATCAAAAGAATGCCATTATTTTTACCACCATCCATCAAATTTAACGCCTCAACAAATTTATAATTATCATGAGCTGTTTGCAACATCCTAGTTGCGAGTTAGCAATTATTAGCTTCCATTATTAATATCATTTATCATCGCTATGTAAGTCATCAAACAACATTAGATAACGTATCATCGTCATCATCATCGTCATCATCATCATAAATCGTCAACAGTATTTGAATCATCCTGTAAAGACTTACTCATGAAAGATTGTGGGACCGAGGACAACCGATAAGTTTCGGGTATCCATACAATTTTCATCGTAATTCTTTGAGATTCTTTGAAAAAGTAAAAAATGAATTATAATGAATATCAAAATTATTTTCAAGTTACCTACGTCATAATGTAGATGATCTTCATTGTTATACATGTTCTCGTTTGAGTTCATTGAAACATTTGAAAAGGTGAAGCACCGTCAAAGAACACTCATAATAAATAGCACCTCGTAAATAAGGGAAAAAGAACGAAAAAGTTGTAAATGTTACAATGTTTGACAGACAACGCAGATATGACCTATACAGGTGTGAGCAGAATGTTAAACTATTGGCAATGACTAACTAATGTGCTAACATTTCTAAGTACCCTTTAGAAAGCCATTCTCAAGAAGGGTGCAGAATGTGAAGCAGCATCATTTAATAAATATGAGCACTTCATTCTGAGAATTATTTTATTAAATGACATTAAGTACTATTAAGAACTTATAACTGATTCAAAACCAATGTAGTGATTTGTTCAAAAACAGCATGATGAATCGTCACTTTTAAAAAAAATTCCAAAAATAAAAAAATGACGAGTTAATTTATTGAACAATCCCACCAGCCAATGAAGAATTATTTCGATATAATATGGAACATACTCGTTGAGATGCTTGAAAAGTCTGGCCAATAAATATCTGTTTGCTTCTGGCAGTTGATCAATACACTGTTTCACCTGCAACAACAGCTTATCGTGAACGCATGGACCGTCGGATGTGGTGGCCGTGGGTGACGTAACTGAACTCGATGGCTCTTCTGGTAGGATAATTAATAATTTTTGGTTCTCATGTAAAAAAAATATGTAAATTTTTTTATTATTATGAAGAGATAAATAAATTTCCTTGATCATAATAATAATAACAACCACGACAACATCAAAATGATGATGCAGCACCTGAAATACTATAAAGATGGAGAAGTGGAGTTGTTTTTGTTTTCGCCGTCTGTTCTGATGTTGATGTCGATTGATTGATTGATGGTGATGAAGACGATGATGGAGACGACGACGACGACGCCGCTGTGAGAGTAGTCGCTGACAATTTTGTGGTAGCATTATTTGCAACTTCTTTTGAAACAGAAGACTGCTTTGCTTTCTTTGAAATAAAAAAAATTTTAAATGCAGACTTAAATAGAATAATATATTCAGCATGAAGTTTCAAAATGCACAACCGTCTCCAGAGAAACATTAAACTGCACAGAAAAAAAACTTGAAAAACGAAAGAGAAAAAACAGTTTAAATAATTATCTCACTTGGAATATGTTGAGCAACTGTTTTTTGATGTCTTCTGTGAAGAGCAAGTTCTGTGACTGCCATATTATGATACGTTATGAACATATATGATGTTTGCTAATGTTATATGGGCTGTAATATACTAATCCCATGTTATTAATGCTATCAGATGTTGTTAATGCTGTGAATGACATGTTACTAATGTTATCAACTCCAATTATTGCTGTTTATTTTCTTTTTTATGAATAATAAAAATTTTATCATTTTAACATGCTAATGATATTAACTCTAAGCTCACATTAATTGTATTACGATTGTAAATGGGAATTTATTAATCATTATGTTACGACAAAATGTTGATGATTTTGAACTCATAACTCAACTAATAAGTGATGATGAACATGATGAAATCACCAATGAGAACAACAACAACAAAGAACCAATAAAAATTTACAAGTCGTAGAAGTAACGAACTTTTTTGAGCAGAACCTTCAAGGTGTTGGCGATGGTGTTAACATCTGAGAAATCTACATCCACATTCTTATTCAGCAAAGTCTGGAGGAAGGAGCCACTTCTCAGCTTAGATCCTGACACTCTGTATATGCCCTGGTGATTATCACAACAATCATGGTGATTATCACAACAATCATGGTGATTATCACAACAATCATGGTGATTATCACAACAATCATGGTGATTATAAACGTGACTTGGTGACAGCAATGGTGATGGTGGTGAGTAAAACGATGATGATAAATAAAATTTCGATAGTGATTACAAAGATGATGATAATGTGATGATGTGGCAGCAGTGATGAAGATATAAAAAAAACCTACATGATCACATACATCAAGTTTTGAAACCAAAATACCATTAAAAAGAACAATGTGAATCAGAAAATGAACTATGGCAAATTGAATATTTTCCAACCACAGCAACGAACTTTTGAATGAAGGCCATGCTCCTCGATGAGTTGCATGCAAGTCAATATTGACCATTTCAAATCTTCGTCTGAGAAGACTTCACTGCGGTCTGCGTTTTTTGTAGCTGACGTGTTAATCTTATGCCTGTCGATGGAAATTGAACTGCCACCCACTGCAGTTCCATCGCCAATGCACTGAAACCTTAATCTGTAAATGCAGCGCTCGTGGCAACAGATCTGACACTGGTCAATTTATCATTTTCAATGATTGTTTATAATTTAAATAAATGAATAAGTAACTTAATTTTAATCATTTATTTATTTATTTATGAAATAAATTATGTGGTTATATAGTCATACAACACCAAAAAACATCAAACCACAAAAATCAAACGCATATATTATACTAAATGACACAAACACACATCAGCATACACACACACACACACACACACACACACACACACACACACACACACACACACACAAGTTACAACCACACAAAGAAGGACTTGTATGCAAACTTTCGTGCAAATGAGACCAGTAATGCAACAGTAGGACTCACACACTCGACACTTGCTGGGAATTTTTAAAGCTTTGAAACTGTGCTCGTTCACTTTCAGTTTTCCATTGGCTGGTGGCGAAGATTTAAAAGATAATTAATTTCAATATTTTTATCAGAATTTAAATTATAAGGTTAAATAATAACAATTTTGAACATCAAAAGATGATAAGGATTCTGACGCAAAGCCGATCCCAAAGTCATTATTAAAGATTTTTAAAGAATGAAAAAAAATTATCAAAGAACCTGATCATCATATGAAACCAACCATTGAAATGTTTGGTAGCAGCATTCGGCCCAATGAGAGATTTGCTCTGCCCAGTCAACATGCACATAATTGAATCAGGGGAGCGATCGATGGATTTGGACCTTCCGAACTTACTACCTGTGATAATTATAAAGAACAAACAAAAAAATGGTAAAAAAATGGAGAAACGGAGGAAAGAGACAGACAGAAAGACGGACAGAGAGCAAGACAGAAAAAGACAAAAATTTTAAAATCAACAAGAATAGAACGAAACTTTAAAAAACTGACCACATTCAGTTTGTTTGCAATTGCGGTCACGAGGTCTTTCCTCTGAGTGGGATCCACGTTTTCGGACTTTCCTCTCAGTGCATCTTCTGGTTGAATAGTTATTATTCTTACAATAATTTGATGAAATAAAAATATAATTTCTTATTTTTTCACTTAGTATGCATAACATCTTATTTAAAAATCCATACAATATAACATACTACTAACAAAGGCAAATTAAAATTCTAGAAAAATAAAAAAACTTCTGGTAACAATGAAGATTTAATTACATTCCAATGCATAAAAAAGCATAATTCTTAACGAAAAACATTTCAATTTATTGTGATGTTCCTTTTGTCTTCAAAATTAACTCTAAAATTATCTTTCTTGGCGTAATTTAAACAAAATGCTATCAATAATCATTATATAGAGAGAGAGATAAATCATTGATTGAGAAAACTATCTACCCACGGAAGTAATTTGGACTTAGTTACTCATAACAGGAAAATCTGAAAGATTATTCAACATTGACAGTGTAGTTTTGTTATATATAACAAACAAATAATTATATCAATATCAACTACAATGATCACAATAAAGAGAATTAACCAACAAATTAAACATTACCAGTTAAATTATAAAACATCTGAATTATTTTAAAAATAATGTCTGAAAGTTTTCTAATTAGATTGCAATGATTATGTATCAGTGTTATACATAGCTAGTCATAGTAAAGTTGCAGCCAACAAACAACTCAAGTGAAATTCGTTACAGTTATCAATATGAAACTAGATTAAAATTGAAAGCAATCATCAAATAATTGCCAGTATGATGTACAGTACACTTAGTCTATCTTTATTTTAATGTATGAATACAATTTTTAATCAATCAATCAATAAATCAATCAATCAATCTGTCAATCAATCAAACAATCAGACAGCCCTCATTTAACGTCGTATTATCATAATAATAATATTTTATATTATATTAATACAATTAGAAGTAAATAAAATAAAACAAAGGAAACAAATAAATAAACCATTAATTGAAGATCCACATACAACAAACTACCTCGATCTGCCAGCATCGCAAGCAGTTGAGCTGCTGAAAAAATTTGGATGAAACATCGCAAAAGAAAATAAAATGGTATGGATTAGTAATTTTTTTATTCTAAACTTGCAAATTAATAACTGCCAAGTGACAAATAAGTATTGGCAAAGTAAACCGTATTAGGTTTTTGTCAGCATTGAAAAGAACAAAACTAAAATTAAAAAGAAATTATCTTCTTCTAATCTAAATCAATAAAATTTAAAAAAAAATAATATAATTGCTATCAAAATAAACTAAAAATGTAGATTAATTTTGAAAATATAAGCTCGAAAAAATAAAAAACCTTAAGCTGTTATTTTTTGGGTATGATTGGAAGAAGAAGAGTCCGTCAGCAGATAAGAGATTTGCAAAGGATGGATAAGATGAAGAAGAATCATTATTCACATGAGTGCAATGCACTGATGATCTGGTTGCGATGTTTGCTGGCGTCGGCATGCAAGAGGGTTGTGGAGAAGAAGGAGAGGAGGGTGGACATGCAGAGGTGTTCATCTTTTTGATGGCTTGGAAGTGGGTCAACCCCAGCGTGTAAATGTTGCACTGCTCTATCAACACATGAAACTGTTGAAATGAATTATTCAAATTAACGTACACAAAACTAATATTAATTTTTTTTACGAATTCCAAGTTTTGTCGTAAACTTAATAGTAATAAACATTGATAATAAATTGTATCTTAAATCGAAACTGCTATTACACAGCACAGATTTATCTTTTATGAGTCAATATCAATCCAATGCTATTACTTTCCAATTTATGGGATACCACAAAAAACCTAGTACATCAACATCACCAACCATTTTATGATCCTAAACGACTTCATTAACGCACCTTAATCTCTACTTCCATTTATATCAACAAACAAAACAATCACTTGAACATTCCAACTGAACCAGATGGCTATTACATAATTGTGAAAACATCAACACAAATGAAATATCAGCTAGAAACAAACACAAACATTGTCAGCTCGTCTGCTATAGAAGCCCTTGTATTTGTCAAAATAATCTATAATGACCTGGACGTTTGTTGTTTTTTAATAAAAATATAATAGTGATAACGATGAAGATGGTGATGAAGATGATGGAGATAATGACGATGAAGATGATGCTACTGATGAAAATGATGATGAAAATGATGATGAACTACAGCAATGAGAGCACTGATGATATGATATGGTAAAGTATCGATGATAACATAGTGATGTGGTTTGAAGAATGATGAAGCGGTTGTAAGAATTAAAACTGATAAATGATCACGCAGCTATGATAACAGTATGGATCATGATGATGATGACTACGGTTAACGTGACAATGCCAACAGGGAGGAAAATATTTATGACAACAATAGTGATTAGGATGACGACGATGAAGAAGAGAACGACGAACCATTTTGAAGGTAGCATCACTTTCTACCATCAGCTTGCTTAATTGGGCAATTATAGTTTTCTGCAATAGAAAAAGACTAAATTTTTGTGTTAGGTTGTTAAGTTGTTAGTAAAAAACATACAAAAAAGCCAATAAAATAAAATAATGCAGGAGCTATCACAAACTGAATAAAAATAGTTCATTTCATTATTCCGTTGGCATGTGACTTATGTTTTAATTCACATTTCGAAAACATTGCAATATAGTAACATTACAAAAGAAAAGATGTCTTCTACACTGCTATCTGAATAAAATTTGTCAGTCCAATATTCAAAAAAATAATATTCAATACTCAGTATAAAAATAAATTAAAATAACAATTCAACCATTCTGATAGCAAGTAAAAAAAATTTAAACTGGGAGTGTTCATCATTATAAGATATTAGTTATCTGTAGATAATTGAGCTTTATGCATTGCAGAAATAACTACAAATTCACAATAGAACTTAATACTGAGAATTATATGTGGTTCATTGAATTGCTATAAATATTCAAGTGAACGTTCAAAATCTTCTACATAACTTATAACATTAAACTAGAACATAACTACAAAACCATAGCAATGGAATTGTTACAGGTGAGACCAAGATTAACACATTTAAAAATAAATGTGATGACAAATATTTGACTGCACACCTCAACGATCTGGCTGACTTGAAGTTCATTGTTGGCAGTGCGCACAGCTTCCATGTACATCTTCTCAGCTTCCTGCATCTTCTGTTCCGGATTAAACGTCAATTAATCATTTGTAAACTTTGGAAGAATGTGATGTTACGTAAAATTAAAAAAAAATTAATAAATATACTAAATCTTACCGTAAAAAAAAATTTCTGAATGAGTAATTTAAAATACTTTTTTTGTGAGTTCATTGTCACTTTTTTTCCTCCTCAAGATGCGAGAGCTGGTCCTTTCAACGGAGGCAACAACATTTTTGTTGGCTGTGGTTGTAGCTGTAGTTACCGTGGGCAATGTTGTAGAATAAGATGATGATATTGAGAATGAAATTGATGAAGATGCAGATGGTGCAGATGTTACTATTGACTGGTGACTTTGTGGGGAAGACTTTTCAATTTCTTCAAGTTCTTGGTTACATTGGATGTAAGATGACTTCCACTTCTTCAAATGCTCCACTGCTTCATGCTGCCAAAAAAGTTACTTTAATCCCGAATCTTTAAAATATAAAAATCATTTAGAAATGCTTTCTATTGAAAGCTGTACATAAACAATTAATAAGCATGTTTGCTGAAACCAATTTGCTAGTTAAAATGCGTTAAAACTGGTACAACAGCACTGATGATGTGATAATACTTGTCCTCTATAATTATTACCAATTTGTTCAGCTGCCTATTCATTATCTCCCTGTTATCTTTGCACTTTTTGTCATGCTCGGCCAACATTTTTTTAAGAGGCTGTTAATAAATGTTATCATAATTTAATAAAAACAAATAATATTAATTAATTCAAATATTTACGGTGAGATAATATCGAAAGAAATGAGCAACCAACCTGATTGTTTATTAATTTGATGTTTTAATTAATTAAATATTCATGAAAAATATAAAAAAAAGATTTGCCTTGAAGACAGATTTCTTCCTGATATCTGTAATCAGTTCGATGTGATCCTCTGATGTGTTCAAATTCTGCATGGTGGTTTAATAACAACTACTGTCAGTATAATTTTATCAGCCATTTATAAAATCAATGCAAATGTTTGCTTTATATTATACATAAAAACGTGACATCATGTGACATAAACATGATTGCATAAACTGAATGATTGTAAAACAGTTACATGAAATTTTGAAAAACCGTTTTCATTTAAAAAGGTTAAAGGTCAATTACACTCTTCTAAAGTTCAGAGTATTCAACAATACGCTACAAACATCATATATGTATTCATATACAAAACATGCTAAACGACGCATCACACACAAAGCATGCGATAGGCGGGGATCTTTTTGTTATATTCGAACCCGGTTAATGCGAAACAGCTCCAGGCGACCTTAACCACTAGGCCATTTACTGATAACAGGTTTTATCAAGTTACACTTAACTGTTGGAAATTGCTCTAAATAAATATTTCAAAAAATAGCAAACTTAAAAAAATTTGAGAAAAAAATCCAACCTGTTGCAAAGCAGTTAGAAATATGTAACGCATTGGTAATAAATCCTTGAATAAAAATAATTTACATATTAAAATTGTTCTTTGCAACTATCATAATCAACAACCATTGTCATCATCATGAATATAATTACTATCATCATTTACTATAACATTTTTAATCACAGTAATCATAGCACAGCAAGCAACATCATTAACAAGATCAACACTAACAAGCTGGTCAGACATTGACCTTAGATCTGTAGAAATTTTTATAATGCTCATGCTGTGTTCCTCATCTTAAATATATAAAAAAATTAATAAGATTTTATGATATTAGATTTTAAAATGAAAACACAGTTTTTAAAAACTGATATTATGTTTTATGCATAAATAATTGAAAAAATTATCATAAATGATATGAAATGATATAAAAGGATATAAAATAATCTAGAAAATAAATTTGTTACACTGATAGCTAAGAGTGCAACAATGAATGTTTAATTTTAAAATTTACATTTGCAAATAATTCAATTTAATTTAATTGTTAGGGCAATCTCTACTAATATAGTACTAATACTATACTGACAAATTTCCAATTATTCAATTCTATTAAATTGAAATATTAAAATAAAATATAAAATTAGAAAAAATAAGCCAAAGAGAACAGTTTAGCTTTAACATGAATTAACTAACAGCTTGATTACTAGTACTTGACACATTATTAGTTTAATTTTAATACATATTTAAATTTATATTTAAAAAAAATTGGCCAGTCACCAATTTGCATTTTTTTCTCCAAGTAATCAATAACATCATTACAGCATTGTATCCATTTCTCCATCTGTCTTAGGCCCAACTCAACTCCAATTTCTTGTGAAGATAAAATTCCTTCAATCTTAGCTGAGAAATGTATAGAAAACATTTTAAAATTTAATAAAAAAATAAACATAAACTAATAAGTTTATTATTAATAAAAATAGATTATTAATAATAAAAAACATCAATCTCATATTTATTTAGTAAAGTTAGTTTAGTAATCAGTTAATTTTTGTAGTTTGTTATTGTTATTGTAAATTGTTAAAGTAAGTTAGTTTTTTTATTACTAAAATTGTTTTATTAAAGATTTTATTTTAGTTTAGACTTTTAGTTAATTTTTTAATTAATTCATCATATAAAAAATATTAAAATTAAAAAGTTAAAAACTTTTTAAAAGCTGATTGTTTAGGTTTAATTAAAACCTACTAACAACCAACTAAAGCAAATGCAATTTACAACACATATGGCATAAAATTAAAAATTTAAACCAATTTTATTTTAATAGAAACCCACCTGCATAACCTTCTTCCTCACTAACCATCATGATTTCTGGCGAGAATGATTACTTTAAATTTTGATAGCTAAATTTACTTTTATTACAGTTTATCTTTACATATTACCATTTGCGAATAATTCAAAACGGTAGACGAATATAATGGTGATAAATTTACTGAATGACGTATGTGTATTTATAACATGGATATGGATATATATCCATGGTTTATAAGAATGTGAAACCTAAAAATCCCCAACGCATATTCATGTTACTCCATCATTTTGACGATCCTACTCTTCTTCATGTTGCTTCATTAGTTTTATGCATGGATAAAACCATGGTTTTATGTTTTATCTAGGAATGATTATTGTAACTTGCTCTACTGTGGTCTTTCTGGTTCTACACTAAATCCTTTAATTAAGTAAAGCTTTTAACTCTGCAACACGTCTAATTGCTCCTGCCCCTTTCTTTTCTCATATATCTCCGTATCTTGTTCTCTTGCACTGGCTACCTATAAAATATAGAATAATTTTTAAAATTTGCACACTAATTTATAAGTCTCAATCCAAACTATTTTCAAAGTACCTATCAGATATATTAATTGAACCTAAACGCCCCGGTTTACGACCTTCTTCTTTTCACTTCTTCTAACTCGTGTTAAACACTCTTTTGCTAAATCTGCATTTGCTTTTTTTGGCCATTTCCTCTGGAAGTATTTAACTCCTTCTCTGAGAACTTCTCCATCACTCAAGAAATTCATAGCGGATTTCAAGACCCATTTGTTCGAAAATAGCGCTTTACAAACTAAATGATTGATTGATTGATTTTGTGTAATCATGAAAATCCCAACGCAAATAAATCATATCCACATTCCACATGTATGAAAAATTCAAAGTACATTCATCTTATTCCACCACATCTAAACGGAACTCCTAACTTTCATATTCCACTTTTTGGAAATCTAAAATTGTTGAGTTATGTTTGTTTATTTTTTAAAATTTATTAGAGTGTTAAAAGATTATTTTTTAAGAGTTTGTTAAAAATTTAAACATCTGTAGTATTATTCAAATCACAAGTTTCAATAGTACGTAATAAACATCGTACAACTGATCGTACTTTTTCTATTTTAGCAGACAATTAAATCATTAGTCAACACATGAATTTGAAAAAACCTTGGTGTACTTGTACCTTTGGTATATTTGACTGCCAACTCTTGCAATCTTACTATCACCTAATTCTAAGTACATATATGGCAAGCTCTAAAAGCAATTCAAAAGCGTAGGCCCAGCTAGTCTCGTGGAAACAGTTGAATGATAAAATGTTGAACTTGATGTGTCGGACCCTCACTTAATTTTGAGAGTAAAACGATTCTATCATTGGATTTATGAATAAATTGAATGAATGAATGATTGGTTGATATTATTATTGCCATTTATATAGGTACCACAAAGTTACTTACTTACTGTTCCAAATTACTTAGAAGCATTTCAACTTACATATCAAACTAAACATGCCTTGCGTGCAGTATGGGATTAACAAGCCTACGCACTAACGTGAACATGACCATCAAGTCGTCACTCAATCAAATTATCAGCATAAGACTTTCGTCACAAGACACCTTAAATATATTAATACTCAATAAATGTTTTTCATCTGTCCAATATCTTAACAAACGTTTTTTTTAAATCATTATTTTATTTCCCATTCTTATTAAGCTTAAAAACATTCTTACTCCCCAGACATTCTTTTCTTTTATAGAACACATAATTTTATTTACTCACTATGTCATTAAATAGTCAATTTATTTATTTATACTTTTATTTATTCGTTTTTTCCATCTCTGCGTCTGTCAGATTCTGATTTTTAAAAGAATAAAAAAAATCCTTGTTTTCATATTGCGATCGTTTTGTAATATTTTTCTAACCCTACCAACACATTAGTAATACATAATAGTAATGAAACCTGCGCAGTACAATGTCACTATAAGATTTTTAAATATAATACAAATTGTACGATAGGAAATGAGTTATTGCTGCTGTTGAAGTATTTATTTTCTCACAATTGTGAATGGGAAAAGTGCCCAAAACATTTTCGCAAGAAAGTGAAAATACTTTGGGCAGGGCAAATACAAGAAAAAATTTATTAATTGAGCGTTTTTGATTTTAAAATGGTTTAGAAGGTAAAATTATTTTCTGGTTATGAAAAGGTTAATATTTAATATTTAATTAATTAATGAAACTAATATAATTAGCGCTATACAAATGAATGGCAATATACGTATTTATATATATATTAAGCTATAAACATATATATATATATATATATATATATATATATATATATATATATATATATATATATATATATTGAAAAAAGTGAGTTTAATTAGTACAATTGTATTTTGATGTAAAAAATGTATTTATGCCGCCACTGTGAACATTTACATTTACAATCAGTTCGTTTCTGACCGTTAAGTTGTTGGTCATACACACACACTCATCAATGTAGCTAGTTCTGCGTGTATCGCGTACAAAATAGCGTACGCCATACACCTATCATATAGCAATACATTGATACGCTTATGTTAATAGATGAAAGCTTGCATCACAGCTATATTTTATGAATAAACAATACTCATCGAAACCTATACGTGCAATACACGTATGACTTTGTTGTTAAATGATTGATAATTGTTAAATGTACGAAATTTAGTGTTTTGTTTGATTGCTTTAATTATTTCGCCGTTGACGTTTAAGTTTGTTTTATAGGATCAATCAGTTGTGTAGTATTTTGTTTGTAAAAAATTAAAAAAAAATTTATTTCTTCGTCGTTGGGTAAGTTTGAAAGATTTGATGTTTGCTTGAAAATTGTGTCGTGTTATTGTCTAATTTTAATATAAAATGAAATGCAGTTTATCAGAGCACATGTTTGAAAGCTCGCTAGCGTGTTTGTACATGTAGCATGTGTAATGTAATGTTTTCCGTTATCTGCGGTTCCCAGCTTATTTTTGATTGCTGGGTATATATACATATGTGGAGAAGGCAGTTGATTTTCTCTTGTATACTTTAACGAAACTCGTCTGAATTTAAACACTGTCCTGCAGTTGTTAAACTGATATTTCGGTTAGCGGTATCTGTTCTCTGCGTTAGCGAATCTAAACATTTTAATTTGGCCTTGTTTATGTCATCTGGCCTTTAAGTTTAATTCGTCAGTGTCAGTACTTATTATATAAATAAAATAATTGGTCTGGCCGCCATATTGTTAACGGTGAGTGTTGTTGACGCACGCCTGCCAGACTGGATAACTAGCAGCTACTAAATTTTAATTAAAAGTTTTTTTTCCAAAAAAAATTAGTATAAATATTTATTTGCTGACCGGTATAACCATGTGCGTTATTAATGAACTCTAATCTAAATATTGATGGCTTTTTGAGTTTTGTTTTTTTTTGTTTTAAGGTTTTTGTTTGTCAGTCAGTCAGTTATTTAATTAATTTATATTTAAAATATTATTCTGATTCTGCGTCGTCTCGTCTGTCATCTCATTTAAATTTTAAATTTATTGTCGTTTCTCTTTGACATATTTTATTGTTACAAAACTAGTATTTGTTGTTTAATTTTCATTGTTTTTAAAATTTAAATTTAAAAATTTTAATCAGCATATTCCCCAAAGTTTATTTGATAATTTTCTTTAATTCTTAATTTTAATTATATTATTTTATTATATTTTAGATTAGGGATTAGTTAGCAATTTCACTTTTTTCATAATAACAGCTGGTGTTTTTTAATAAATAAACACTGTTTATTTATTAAAAAACAATTATATTAAAATTGAATTCTGTTCAGTTAAATTAAAAGTGTTAACTGACTCTCTAAAAAGGTTTTAACTTAACCACAAGACTATTTTCAAATTAATAAGAAGATGGTAAAGTTTGTCTTCCTCAAAACCATTTTTTTTACATAATTACATTGGGTGCTTCCAAGTTAACTATTCCATGCTATTCCATCTTCTTCATCAATATTGATCTAATTATTTGTTGCAGATGTCAAGTTTGCATCCAGCTAAAAAGCCCAGGTTGGACAACCCTGCTGAAGTAACAAATAACGATTCCAACAGAAATAACAATCACATGGTGAGTTAGTTCCATCTTATCGTTTACATGATTAAATTTATTAAATGTTTTTTAATAATAGCTTTATGTTATTAAATGTTATTTTCATTAATTTTGAATGATGCTTGTCACTGTTACAGTGCCTGCTCAATTAGGATAAAAATGTTTATCTCAAACAGGATATTGACATAGTAACTCAACAGAATGGAAATGCAAACAGCATTGATGAGGGCCTCTACTCCAGACAGCTGTAATTAGGATTTGTTTCACATAAATTGTTAATAATAATAATATTAAACACTATAGTTCATTATAGTGAGTTGTTGATGGCGAATTGATATTTTTAGGTATGTGTTGGGCCATGCAGCTATGCAAAGAATGGCAAGTTCAAACATCTTGGTGTCGGGCATGGGAGGTCTCGGAGTTGAGATTGCCAAAAATGTCATTCTTGCTGGTGTCAAGTCTGTAACCATTCATGACAACAAGAATACTCTCATATCTGATCTTTCATCACAGGTTTCCATTTTATTATTACTATTATTGTTATTGCTAATGTTTTCACTGTTTTCATAATTTGCTAGCTGAAGTCTCACTTCAGTTTCAATATAATAATCTCTATTGATATTTTTTATTTATTTTGCTAATGAACAGTCATGTCCAACTCTTGCCAGATATCTTATTTTATGCCAACCATATCTGACTATGGCTACATATATATATCAACACATTCCATTATAAGTACACACCTACACATGTCTCTGAACATGTTGTGTTTAATTGAAAACAGTTTTTCCTGCATGAGGCAGATGTCGGGAAAAACAGAGCACAAGCCACACTTGCCCAATTGGCAGAGTTGAATTCATACGTGCCTGTCAACTGCATGCAGGGTGCACTTACAACAGAACATCTCAGTAAATATCAGGTAGTTCCTATCTTTATATATTTCGTTTGTTCTTCAGTTTATCATTTTATTGTCTAATGTTAGTCTGCTGTCTTAACCCTAGTTAATTACTATGAATCCTAATTAATTACTTGGTTTGAGTTGTTTCAAAGTATTATAATTATAATTGATACATAAAACAGGAAAATATAAATTTGTGCATCCGTTTCAGTAAATTTATTCTTACCACTCCTCATGATATAACTTCAACTCAGGTGGTTGTTTTGACTGATTCAACACTGGAAGAACAAAAACTCTTTGGTGAGTACTGCCATCAGCACGATATCTGCTTCATTGTTGCTGACACCAGAGGACTCTTCGGGTTGGTGCACTGCTCATTGTGTTCAGTCATTTATTTAAATATATTTGTTTAGTTCGATGAATGTTTGTTTGTTCTGTCATGGCTCAATTAGGTAGGTCTGTTGAGTTTAATTTTTTTTACTGATACGTCTTTCATCAACTGGTTTGTGAATTGATTGTATGGTTGATTTATTTTCTGTTGGATAAATCTTTCATAGTGTAAATTTTTACACACCAGCCAATTATTTTGTGATTTTGGTGAGGAGTTTGTGGTGAATGACACAAACGGTGAGCAACCAATCAGCAACCTTATTGCCTCAATCACCAAGGTAAAATTTGAAATAACCATTCATGCATGTACTTTTCTAGCATAACATGCTAGCATTTATGAAAGTCTTATGGTGCAATGCATCCTTCTGTCGAACTGTCGAAATAAATGTGTGCTTTTTTAGATGCTTTGTAGACTAAGATTATAGTTATTTTATATTTATATTGTTTTAAATATTATAATTCAATGATGTTGATGGTGTAAGAGGTTTCAATGTGTTTGAAACTATAAATTTTAGGTTAGCTAAATTAGTATATATTAGTAATTTTATTATTATGATGATGCCATACAAACTTGTAGGAGCAAGATGGTGTGGTGGCCTGTATAGATGAAACACGACATGGTTTAGAGACTGGTGATTATGTCACATTCTCTGAGGTTCAAGGAATGGTGGAGTTGAATGGGTGTGAGCCGAGGAAAGTTACTGTTCTTGGTTGGTTTATGTTTTTATTTGTGCTTCTTTTTAATAAGTTCTTTTTAATTGTTTTTTTATGTTTTCATTTTTTGTTGTTTATGAATTTTCATGAAGCTATTACAAAAGATTTTTTCTATTTTTGTTTTATGGAAAAATGATTTTTTTGTAATTATATATTTGTGAAAAGATTTTATTGTCCTGAAACATTTTTATTTTCAGAAGGACTGACTATAGCACTTATAGTTTGTGAAATTATTAATCCGTGTTAATTACTTTCACGCACTTTTTAGGCCCATACACATTCAGCATTGGCAGCACAACTGCATTTTCTGATTACATAAGAGGTGGCAATGTCACTCAGGTCAAAATGCCTAAGACCTTTAAATTTGTGAGTTTTATTTGAATATGTTCTCATTCATTCTTGAATTTCATTATTTTCTAACCAATAAAGGGTCAACTTCTATTAATCTCAAAAAAATCAGACTCTGACAAATGTAGAATCAACTATTAGGTGTAAATTTATTACATATTCAGTTTTGAGGCAAACCTTAGAATTTATTCATCATATTAATAATCATACTTAGTTGACTTAGCAAACTATTACTCATTACATTGACATGTTTAATTACTAAGTTCAGAGTGGATCTCAAGATCTATCTGTTCGCAAAATTTACTGAGGAGCGCTGTTGAACATTGCGAAAATAGCACTTTACAATGTTAGGTCAATTTTTGAAAATTTATCAGGAGTTATACGGTCATAATTTAAGAATTTTGGGATTTTTGAAAAGTTTTTCGACGAGGGACGACGAGTTAACGTCTTATTTTTTTTTGGAAATTTATGTGAATAATTTTTGGAATTGAATTTTCTTGTTTAAAGAAAACACTTGCTTGCATCAAACTGGATTATCACTAGGTCAGTTCAAGAGAGAACTTAAAACACATTTGTTTCGAATCTGAACTTTAAAAACTTGCTTCTTTTATAAAGCAGTAACAGCGCCTATGAGAACACTGTAAGTGTCATAATCGGCGCTTCATAAGTTTCCAAATAATTATAATAATAATAATAATATTTGATTGATTGATTTTATATAACCATGAAAATCCCAATGCTTTTTTGACATTTTCTGATTCTCTGGCTTATTTAAATTATTGCACATTTGAATCGTTTATTATATAAAATTAAAGTTTGCCGAGAATAAGTGCCGTATTTCAGATTAAAACAATTGGTTGATGGGCGATCATAAAATTTTGGGTACATATCTCTATTATTAATGGCAGGAAAAGTTTGGTTTGTAAAAATATTCTTTCTGGAATCAGCTATTTCGTATGGAAAAGGAACTTCATTGTTGATCTGTGGTTTTTAAATGTTTGTTTCAATCAATCCACAGCTAATTAATTAAGTTAAAAAAAAAATTTTCTTAAACATTTTTTAAATATACATTTTCAACTAGTTCTTTTTCTCGAACTCATCTCAAATAATGTACAAAATCATATGTTAAATTTGAGAAATTGTAGTTGGCATAGATGATGGATAAAGGCTGCTAAAAACTATCTGTAAACTGCCACTAAACATTTCAATTTTGTAACAATTATTTTTCAACTATGTACAAACATGCCTAACTTAAAAGTTTTTTCTGCTGGATCTACAATTATGTGTAAAACCGACTATACTATATCACTATATTATATTAGAAATTAGAAGTTAGTTACAAGTCTAGATGCAAATTTACTGTATATTCAGGTTTGAGGCAAACCTTAAAATTTATTCATTATATTAATCATACTGAGTTGACCTAGCAAACTATTACTCCACACAGTGGCATGTTTAATTATGAAATATTCTTGAAGCATGAAATAAACGTATAAACGCATCATTTGTTTTTTATTCTGAATATTAATTTCACACTTCAGAAATCATTTGAACAATCTCTGAAAGAGCCTGAGTTCTTGATAACAGATTTTGCCAAATTTGATCGACCAGAGCAGCTGCATGTTGCATTCCAGGCATTGCATCAGTTCATCAGCAGTCATAAAAGGTGTCCCAAGCCATTCAATTCGGTCAGTCAACCTTTTTTATTCAACACTTCATTTTTTTAACTTTTGACTGTTATTAATTTTATATTTTATTATAGAATTCCAAACTCATAAATAGTTTTTTTCATCTTATTTTTGTCATCTATTCTCTTTTCAAAAACAAAATTCCTAATAATTTTAGAAAATTTAGTTGTGTTGTGATATTTGTGTTTTTATGTGTATATATTTAATTGCAAAATTTATTAATAATAAAGATAGTTATTTTTGTTGAAATAATTTTTCAATTCAGGCTGATTTGAAAGAATTTTTAACCCTGACAAACTCACTGAAACCTTCAAATGTTGAATTAAATGATGAGGTCATCAAATTGTTTGCCTGCGGTTCTTCTGGCAACATCAGTGCACTGCAAGCTGTCATTGGAGGGATTGCTGCACAGGAAATCTTGAAGGTTACGTGCAATATGCCCTGTCTATCTTGTTTCTGTTTATAATATTTTGCTGTTGTGTTTCATGAAAAGTCATTATTTTGGTTAATTTACTTGAATAAGTTTTTTACCATCAAATTTTTTAGTGAAAATGTATATTACAAATTTATAGCATCATTTACTCGTCAATTTATTCATAGTTTTATCATATTCACCCAATTAATGCAATGTCTGCAGGCGTGCAGTGGAAAGTTCAGTCCAATAATGCAGTGGATGTACTTTGATGCTCTTGAGTGCCTACCAGACAAACCATTTGAAGTTCTCAATGAGGAACTATGCAAGCCTGTTTGTACACTTGCAATACTCTCTTCATATGCTTTTCAGTTTTTTGACACTACGTTTAAATAACTGTCGTGACATGTTTTTAATATCATTGTTAATTATTATTTGTTCATATTTTTTTTCAATTTGGTTAATGATTGTAATAAAGATTGCAATGGAAGCAACTTTTAGTAAAAAGTTCTCAGAACTCATTAGAGCGACGACCAATTATTGGTTGAAAGTTTTTAATTTCAGTTTTTTAACAATTGTTTATGTTCATTCTTAATTTAGTTGAACAGTCGATATGATGGGCAAATTGCGGTTTTTGGTCTTGACTTCCAGAAAGTGCTGGCTGATGCCAAATACTTCTTGGTAACCGTTTAGTTCATAACAATTTAGTTGCAATGCTTTTTATAAACGTATTTCTTTTGAGTTTCAATCGAAAATTGGAGGGCAATTATTGTTTGATTTTCAAAAATTAATTTGTTTTTGCTAATCCTATTGTGATCAAAAGATTAAATTATAATTCAAAAACTAATTCATATATACATCATAAGGTTGGTGCAGGTGCAATTGGTTGTGAACTACTGAAGAATTGGGCTATGATGGGTGTTGGATCAGGACCAAAAGGCAAGATCATTGTTACTGATATGGATATCATTGAGAAATCAAACCTCAATAGGCAGTTCTTATTTAGGGCTTGGGATGTTCATGTTAGTCTGTTGGCTTGTTGCTCTAACTTTTTGTCTTTTTCAAAAGGAGAACCCAGCTGTTTAATTTTTATGTATTTGTTCTGTTAGATTTGTCCTTGCTACTTCATACTTTATTTAGAATTATAGCAGTGATTATTACAATTTCCATAATGCATTCTCGTTTTGGCAGAAAGCCAAGTCATCAACAGCAGCTGCTGCAGTGAAGAAGATGAATCCATTGATTAATGTTGAATCACATACGAACAGGGTTGGTGAGGACACAGAAGCCATTTATGATGATTTCTTCTTTGAGAACCTTACTGGGGTGGCCAACGCACTGGACAACGTGGAAGCCAGTTAGTAGTGTAGTAGATGCTTCACTTCAAATGTTGTTTCATAGATTTCAATGGTTCTACTTGTTTGCTCACGCATAAACTAACTAAATAAATGTTGGATTATCTCCATTGATTTCTGTTATATATTGAGAGTGTGATAAAGTTTTGTGCAATTTGTTTTTTTAATCAGTAAATTTCTGAATGTATTTACTTTTAAATCTCTATATAACTTTAATTAAATACGACATGTTAAGGAACATATGTGGATAGAAGATGCGTTTTCTACAAGAAATCTCTGCTTGAATCAGGAACGCTTGGCACTAAAGGCAGTGTTCAGGTGAGTATCAAACATACCAAACACACACAATCCTCCAGATATTGGATGTTGATTCATGAGTCCATTTTACCAGTAGTCGTGTGGTGTGCATGTACCAAATTTTTAGTTGCTTATATATGTATGTACTTGAATGCAGGTTGTAATACCAGATGTGACTGAATCATACTCGGCCTCTCAGGATCCCCCAGAAAAATCCATCCCCATATGCACCCTCAAGAACTTTCCTAATGCAATCGAACATACTCTACAAGTTTGTTACCTCACATCTTATTTTTAGCCCTCTTATTAATATAAACATCTTGCTATTTTTCCAAAATGCATTGATGCATTTGTAATATGATGGATAATTTATATGCCGTTATGTAAAATAAAGATCAAATATGAATACCGTATTTTCTTACGAAATTATCAACTATTGGTAATGAATTAACAATATAAAACATGAAATTCTTCACGACCACCACTACATTTCTTCATCTTTCATATGGAACAGTGGGCCAGAGATTTGTTTGAAGGTTTATTCAGACAACCAGTTGAAACATCTCTCAACTACCTCACCGACAGCAAGTTCATTGAAAGAACATTGAAGATGCAAGGAAGCCAGCCTGTCAGTTGGCCTATTTTTCTTCAGTTTTTTTCATTTTTCTATCAGTTATTTAGAATTTTTAAAAATAATTGTTAACATTACTGTTTAAATCATTTAAAATACTTAATCTTATTTTTAGGCTGACATAAATTAATGGCTTAATTTTATTGAATTTTTTGAGGCATCTAACATTATGGGCGTCGTGATGGTCTAATTGTTAAGGTCGCCTGGTGCTGTTGCACAGTAACCGGGTTTGAATATGACAAAAAGATCCCCGCCTATCGCATACTTTTAACGTCGTTTAGCATTTATTCATATACGATGTTTGTGCGCTTTGTTGAATCCTCTGAACCTTAGAAGAGTGTAATTTACCTTTATTAAACATCAATAATAATTTAAACATTCTGCGACAGTTTGAAACTTTGGAAGCAGTCAAGAAGATCCTCGTTGACGAGAGACCTCAGAAATTTGAAGATTGCATTTGTTGGGCACGCCATCTCTTCCAGAACCACTATTATAATCAGATCAGACAACTTCTCTTCAACTTCCCAAAGGACCAGGTGACTTCCAGTGGGGCTCCATTCTGGTCTGGTCCTAAACGATGTCCTCATCCCCTCACCTTTGATGCTCACAATGTTAGCTTCCTGCTTGTTGTTTTGGTTAACTATTTTAATGTATGTAGTGCAATAGTGCTCTAATATAAAAATGCTTAAAATTTTGAAATTTTAGGACATAGTTTATACACGTTGGTATAAATAAGTTACATGCAACATTTAATCAGCCCACACACCTGGACTACATAGTTGCAGCAGCTCACTTGCAGGCATTTGTCTATGGCATTGATGTCTCAAAATCATTTGATAGAAAGAGGATAGCTGAGATTGCATCGTCTTTCCACATTGCAGAGTTTGTGCCCAAGTCTGGAGTTAAGATCTCTGTGAATGATGAAGAGGCACAAGCATCCAGAAATGACGCCTTCACAGGTCTGTCTCTCCCTCCCTCTCATCTTTAAAATTATCTTCAGTTAAAGCTAAAATTTAACACACCATTGCAATGTATAGATGCAGATGCTCTTCAAAACCTGGAAGAATCTCTTCCTGACCCGAAGACTTTGAAGCTAAAATTGCGTCCGATTGAATTTGAGAAGGATGATGACAGTAACTATCACATGGACTTCATTGTAGCAACCTCGAACTTGAGGGCAGAAAATTATGATATCCCACCTGCTGACAGGCACAAGGTTGGCTATGCTCTCAAATTATTTTAACTTGCTGCAGAATGAAATTCATCTTCGATTATATTGATGATTGATTGATCACTTGATAAGGAATTAATTAAATTTTAATGAATGAACATTGATCAGAGCAAACTAATTGCCGGCAAGATCATACCAGCAATTGCCACAACAACATCAGCTGTTGTTGGTCTCGTCTGTCTTGAGATGTACAAAGTAAGTAACTAATTTTATTATTCTGCTACATTCTTGAGTACAATGTTTTTGTTTTCAATTCTTAAGTTTAATAAAAGTTTAATACATGATAAAATACTTCTAGCACACATTTAATTTGTTTGCAAATATTTGAACTTCAGTTGCTGCAAGGGCACAAGAATGCAGAGAAGTACAAGGATGGATTCATCAACCTGGCACTTCCCTTTTTTGGTTTCTCTGAGCCTAAACCTGCCTTCAAGAATAAAGTAATTTAACATTTTTTTTACCTTTTATTTTTCTGGATAATCATAAGAAGAATGACTGAAAAAGATGGTAACGATGGTGAAAGATTGTGGCGAAAAAGAGGATGATAAGATTGACTTTGATGCAATGTATGTTATCTTATAAGTACAGCATCTGTTCGAACTGGCTTTTGGTGGCCATGCTGACATTGGTGTATCCGGGCGCTTCTGACGCTACGCATAGGGCGCTGCACAAATGACATTATTGTTATTTTTATTATTATTGATATTATTACCATTAAGTTATTTTTAAGCATAAGGTGTATTAAATGCACTAGCTTGTCTGAACGATGATGATGATAATGTTGACGGCTGCACTCTGAACAATTCACCTATTGATTTCAGTACTACGACGTGACATTCACTCAGTGGGATAGATTTGAATTAAATGGAGAAATGACTTTGCAAGAATTGATTGATTACTTCCAGGTTTATCTTCTGATTTGCAATTTTTCTTTTGTTTGATTCTACATTGTTTTTAAAAAACTGTTTAGTCAGTTTTTGCCACTCGAGTCTAATGTTTTAATATTTCAAGAAAATGTACTGATTGTTTTTTAAATATACTTTGAAGAATGAACACAAACTGACGATAAGCATGCTGTCGTACGGCGTTTGCATGCTCTATTCGTCATTTCAACAAGGAGATAAAAGAAAAGAAAGGTTGCCGATGAAGTGAGTGATGGATGGTTTCAGGTGCTGGTGTTGGTGGTGTTATTGGGGTCACATTTGTTTTCACATGTAATGATTGTTTGGGATTTGTTGCGGTATCTAAGATAAGAATTCATGTCAAGACGTTGATGTAATACTGACGATGGTAAATAAGGAGATGATTGTTATGATAAATCATACTGAAGATGGTTGTTAACGTTTGAGAATATTTAAATGCTATCATTGCTTGTTTGGTGTATTTTATAAATTTGTTATATTTATTAATTTCTCCATAATCACAATGACTTCATTACGATCAAATAATTCTAACTCAACGTATTGCATGCTATAATTTATATTTTGCTCGTCAACATTTTGCAGCATGTGTGAGTTGGTGAAGAAGGTGTCAAAGAAGAAGATCCCTGCACATGTCAGATGTCTTGTTTTCGAGATGTGTTGCGACGACGAGGAGGGCAACGACGTGGAGACACCGTACATCAAGTACAACATAGGACATTTGATCGATGGCAACAGTAAAGCCATGGCTTCTGAAAACAATCATAACGTTGAACAGGTTGCTGTAGGGCAGTGAGGAAGGAGGCTTCATGTTCAGTATTCATTGTTCGGCCTGTCGATACATTCAATGTACGAACTAATTGATGTTTTTTAATGCATTTTGTTATGCTTGTCTGAATGTAATAAATTAATCAAATCTTCATGCGATTGGTTCATTGACGGACGTTAATATCCAAGAGTTGTTCGTTACGTTTTATAGGATATATTATTAATGTTGAAATTGAAGTACAAATTTCTTTCTTACTTAACATAGGCCATTTTGTAAGCTTGTTGTTATGTTTTCTCGTTATTCCTTTTTTAGTTTTTTTGGTTCAATTATTCATATGTATTTATTTATTATTAAAGGGGACATTCTTTCATGCCTATTGTTTCATTCACAAACTTAATTTTTCTTGTGCTACTGAGAATGTTTAATTATTAATACATCGCTTGTTAACAAATTCGTTCGTCTGAAAAAGAAATTGAATGATTTGACCGCGCGAATTTTCGCAAACGGCGATTTTATTCTTCCAACCTGTTTAATTTGGAGGAGTCGGATCGGAAGCTTCCACGTTCTCACGAAATGTTATGATCTTGGAATCAAGGATAAGTATAACATGCGATTTTTTGCGAATTATAAGCCTTCAGCAACAAACAAATGATATATTTTATTTTTCACATTCTGTTAAACAAAAATTCAAAATTATGAAACTGTTTTGCGGCTTGTCAATAATACTTAACAAACGATAATGATATTATTAGTTAAATTTCCATGTGGATTGTCAGGTTAAGGCAATATTTGAGAAAATGATATTGTGCATACAAAAATTGTCAAATTAAAGTCATTAAGAAATTATATGAAACGGACTGTCTCCGTAGAAAAATATGAAAAGGGCACTTCAATTTAATTCACTTTAACGCAACAAAAATAAAAACTGCGATTTAAATAAAAATAAAAACTGCGATTTAAAAAAAAAAGAAAAACTTCTTGAAAGTTCTGAACATGAAATTGAAATGCGACTGAATTATATGAAAAAGATGTAAGGGAATGAACGTTGAACCTGTAAAGAACATAAGATAATGCATCAACGAGTCGTTGCTAAATTAAATAGTTAATTAAGTACAAAGAGTCAGGCATGTTTCAATACTGTCAATAGAATGAAGTATTGCGTGAGAAGGCAGCTGTGAGCCGTGAAAAAATAAATGCTCATGAAATTAATCGCGTCTAAATGGTTGGTTGAACATAGGGCTACGCTAGTAAATCGCTTGATATTTTGATTTTGACTACTTACATCGTGCAAATCACCGCGCCACACGAAGATAATAATGTTATGAAAATGGGTATATTTACAGCTAACAAATATTCCAAATATTTTTATGTTGTTTCTGTGTTCTACCATTAACAATATTTGCTAACACATATGCCTTTTCAGTCACCTGAAATCACAATCCATCATCAAATGAACGTGCTCCAAACTGTTAGTCGATCCGTTCAAACGACTGCATGGCTTCAAATAATCATCTGGAGCGATGTTGTTGTCGCTACTATCATCATCGCCGTCATCGTCATCAATGTTGTTGTTGTTCATCGTTGTTGCTGTTGTTAATGTGTCAATGTCATGACGAACGCTTTGATGATCTGGGACGTTGATGTAAGATGTTGTCACGGCAACCTTGTCAGAAGTGCTTGTCATGTTGATGATGATGTTCTGAATGGAGGTTATCAACTCGTCAAATGTGGGTCTGCTCGACGGGTCCGTGTGCCAGCACCTCCTCATCATTCGATAGCTGGATGGTCAATTGGTTGGTGAGATGGTGACGAAGTGAGTAAAAACATTTGAAACGAGAGATGAAACGCGAATGTGTGTGCGGTTGGACGAATTAAATAAAAATAAATAAAAAATTGACACATAACTAAAGCGGATTAAAAAAAAACTATATCTATTTAAATTAAAAAATGAAAATAATTAATATTTGTTGTTTCGAATTTGACCAACAGAGCAAGAGGACAGTAGACAGGCTGCATTAATCTTCTTCCAGATTTGAGAAATTTGATAAAATCCCAACTGTCCACCTCTAGGTAAGGACTGGCTCCTCTGGTTAACAACTCCCACAACACCACACCAAATGACCACTAGATGGTGGTAAGATATTTATAAACATTTGAAATTATCTTTTTTGTTATTTGCACTATCAAACTAAAATTCCGATAACGATGAACAATTTACACTCATCTACTTAAAATTCAAATCAATATTTTGTCTCGGCGCGAAAGTCCAACATAATAAAAATTAATGATAAACATGATTTTTCATGCAGCGACTGACCACATCGGACTTGGTGCTATAGATGCCCTTCTCCAGACTTTCAATGGCCATCCACTTGATCGGCAGCTTGGCCTTCCTATCCCCACTGCTATAATACTCGCGCTCATATACGTCACGTGATAAACCAAAGTCCGCCACCTTCACTGACAAGTCGTCTGCTAACCTGAAAAGCAAAAACATCCTTGCCCAACTAATTGCATGCACCATCGGTAAATTATTCTATTTTTAATTTTTAAACAACTAAAATACCGGACAACTATTTTTTAAAAAGTTCAATCGATTAAAACGGATCTAAGTGTTTTAAAACATAACATAACATTAAATTAAGATTAATATAATGTATGCTGTGTATAATTTTACAGTTAATGCGATAATTTACAGAAAAAATATTGAAATAAAATTACTGAAACGTACATGCAGTTTCTTGCCGCCAAATCTCGATGCACGAACTTCAAGTTGGAGAGATAGGACATGCCACCGGCAATCTGAATGCCAAAATCCATGAGGTGTCTCACCGTTGGTGTCTGTTCCAATGTATTTTTTATATTTGTATTATATTGCAATAAAGAAATAAAAAGTGTAAAGCTAAAAAATTCATCAACGATAAATTTTTTTGTATAAAAATAACAAAAATTGAATAATAAAAATCAGTTGACATCCACCCGATCAACAACGAATTATAAATAAAAATCAGAAATTTCATGAAGGACACGTCTAAACAGGCATTAAATCTAAGAGAGGCATGCACCATTCAGTTCATCGGCAGTTGAAACAAGCTAATAAATAAGATATTATTTCATTGTTTGCAACTTTGCATTAAATCGCATACCTAAATGGCGTATATAATATTTAAGAAAGGAAAGTTAATGTTTTTTCAAGAGCAAACATTATTTTCAGTCCTGATGAAGGTGAGGAGGTCTCCATGCTTCATGAAGGGCAGGATGACAAGAGGCATGCAGCCGTTCCATCTCAGGTTGCCAGAGTTCGCACTACGTTCTCCTTCATCACGACCTACAACGGCCTCATCGCCATTACCAAAAGCATCGTCATCGTAGCCAGCAGCATTATCATCAAGAGCATCACTGATGACGATCCCGATCAGGCTGAGGACATTGGGATGATTGAACTCGTGCATGGTCATGGCTTCCTCGATGAATTTGTTGTACTCCATCAAGCGGCTGGGAGATGGTGTCGACGATGACGACAACGTCGAAGAAGTGGAAGGAGTGATGGAAGATTCTGAGTGCGTGAAAATTGAAATTTTGCGTCATTTTCACACAACCCAAGCAAAATCAGCTTCTAAATAAACAAAAACTCGATAAAAAAATAGCAAACAAAAACAAGAAAAGAAATATACAATCAGACAATGAAACCAAATAAAAATAACTTATATCGTTTTAAAGAAAATTTAATCTTACCTGGTGATGTTTTGAGAGTTTTGACAGCCACTTCCTTCAAATCCTCGCCCGAAGTCTCCAGGTATCCTCTGAAAACACGACCAAAGTGACCTGCAATTTCATCATGTAAATCGAATTAATTGGATTACATTGATTCAAAACTCTGAATTTTAATAAGTCATATTATACCTTGTCCAATGGACTCCAACACGGTCAACTTTTTCCTGTCAATCAACAAATTCATATCTTTCAGCAATTGTTTAGTTCTGAAATCGATGTAGCAATGAGTCGTTGCGGTAGGAGATGTTGAGGTTGTTGACAGTGACGTTGTCGTTGTTATGTTGCTCGTAGTCATTGGGCCACCGGCATGTGGCCAACAAACTGCTAGTGAGGACGCAATGTTACAAAACCAACTTATTACCTATCTCAATCGTCAACAAAATTGTTACGCAGTATTATTGACAGTTAATTACATACACACATAAACACACAAACAAAACACACACAAAAGCACACACGCAAACACACAAAACAAATAGACAAACAACCGACCAGTCAAAAACGACCAACGAACCATTATCGAAGACGTCGTCATTCTCGCTGAACTGTCTGTGAAGTAGTGATCGAGTTCTGATACCACCACCAACACCATCAGTACCTTCACTAACGTTAAGATTTCTACCATACAGCGCATTAGGCATGGTGATGCACTGACTTTTTCTCCTCTTCCTCTCCCTTTCTGCTACCTGTCCTCTCAGCCAGGCAGCAAAAACCATGATCGTCATGACGGGGACGATAATGACGGCCGCCAAGAAAACCCAGAACATGTGCGGGTGGGTGAGCACTGTCTGATTGATGTTTTGCACCTGACCTGATGTCAACGGAGGAGGATCCAGTTCACTTGAAAACTTGAAATTACCCAAATGAACTGTAACGAGGAAGTTCTGCGCTAACTGTAGCTTTTTGTTCAACTTGCAAATCAGTGTGTTGCCGGTTAATTGGGTCAGGTTACAAATCAGGTCATTGACTTTAACCACGTATTCTTTCATTGTGGCTGATAGGTTCAATCTTGATCCCTGGCACACGAACGAACGCATTATCGATAATACAATAGATAAACTAAAGTTATTGTTGTTTCTATGTGTAAAATATCTGTTCTAATAGAGATGACACGAAACCGCTAACAAATGATATAAAGAGTAATAGCAAACATGACAAAAAAGTAGTGGAACATGATATAGGGAACCAAAATGAGGCATGTAAAACTACCTTAATGGTTAAGATATTGGCAGCAAGAGAACTTTTAGAGATAGGCATAAATGCAGGATCTTTATAATAACGTAGTATACGCTGTTCAGTTACGTACGGTTGGTGCTCGCCATTCAATCCCCAGACATCTTCAACGCCGTCCATAACAAAATGCATAGTTGCAGATAACACTGACAAATGAAGGATTTAGAAGAAATTACCAATTGAATACATGAATACATGAAGCTGAATGAACTGAAAATGTATCAAACGAAATAGCGCTGAGCATCTACTGAAAAAACATCACATTTTTCGGAGCAGTTGGCTTTTACTTGCGTTCAATTTCACATCAAAACCCAAAGAAACCCAAACAATCATATCTCAGCGTTGCAGCACAATTCCAACTGTTAATTCAGTTGCCACTTGCATTACAAACACAAATGCATAGGGATTTCATTGAATAAAAATAAATTTGAATTGAATTGAACGGGAAGAAAAGTACGCCAACAAAATAAACTTGTAGAAATTTGAAAAATCACGACAAAAATATTGAATTTCTACTTAGTGCAGTGCATTAATACCTTGACTGGCAACACCATCATCGTCGTCGTCGTCGTCGTCTTCAATAAGGAGTCTGGAATCAATTGATGGGGAAGGACATGATAGGTGGACGTCATCATCGACGTTAACATGGACGCATTCCTGCGAACAGGACCCATGCGACAACCGCTGCTGACTGGCCACTGCAGATGTTACTTTGCTGCTAGTCTTGTTTTTGTTGTTCGAGTTATAAGAAGCTTTGTTGTTGTTCATGGTATCCCCAAGAGGAACCTTAAACCTATTTTTCACGTTTTTCTCGTTATAATAATTGTTTTTAATGTTTACATTATTAACAGTGTTGTCGTTGGAAACATCTTTATTGATGTCGCGATTCATTCTATCGTTTACAGTTGGGAACCTCTTCCCATTTACGTAACTCTTTGCAGCATTTTTGACTGACTTACTGGCTGTTTTGTAATTGTTTACAAAACTGATCACTTCGTTGCTGACGTGTTTGCTGGTGTCGTCATGGTCTTGCACGAATGTGATGCAAAGTCTCGGCTTCTGTATGGCTTGAAGATTCCTCCCAACAACTGTCAAGTTCTGTCCGCCACTGAGCAAATATTTTGAAGATCGTCATTTCAATGTCAAGTTATGAAACAAAGGATTATAAAGAAAATTTTAATAACGAATCATTTAGCATGTGACATGTTCAAACAATCACTGGCTTCACAACTGTTCTCTACTCATAAAACAGAGGCGTTCACAATCAAGAAACCAATGATCTACTCTTCAAGTGTTTCACACCTCAAACATTTCCGACATTCATCCAATCGATATTTGTCACTTTGTTACAAAATATAAGTGTGCGAGCAAGCGGTGTTTCGTAAAATTCACTACAATAATTTTAGTTACTTCTGTAATGACAACTTGAAAAGAAGAGAATTGTTGATAAATTTAAAAAAAAACCTTAGAATAGATGTTCTCGGATAAACGCTGGAGACAACGGGATCATCAACATACAAAAATGTTTTGTTGTTCTCGATGATGTTGTCGTCAATGATGAGTTGCACTGATTGTTGTCGCTGAAGTGTCGATTGTCTCGTTGAGAGGCGTTCAGGTGGTTGCCGTTTCGTTGTTCGTTTGGAAAGAAATGGAAAAGATGACGACGACGATGATGAAGATGATGATGAGACCAGAGACGGTGCAGCCGAAGATGTCTTGCACAATATTTTTTCTGATGAAATGCTAAAGAAGTAAGAAAAATAACAAAATAACTATTCAAAAAATTGATCATATATTATCTTTTCCTCAATTTTGGAATTAAAATATAAAAAATTTTAAAAGTTAATAAAGTTCAGCGATGACTAAAAAATATAAACACACACACACACACACACACACACACCTCAAGACAAAACATCCCCTGCCAATGTAGACGACAACTTTGGAGCCGACATTGAGGTCCTTGCCGAGTAGGGTGACATTGGTGCCACCCGACCTGGGACCCAGTAAGGGACTTATTGACGTGATCACAGGTTGCTGAATAAATTTCAATTTACTGGTTCAGTATATTCTTGATTTGAAAGTAACTTTTCATCCTCTTATTAAACAAGCCAAAGAATATGAGCAACCTTGTACATAAAGAAGTCGCCATTTGAAACATCAGATCCCTTAATAACGTACGGCACAGCCTTCTTTGTCACATCTTCAATACTAACACGCAATGAATGTTGGTAGTTGTTCATGGAGGGACTTGTTTGACACTCTATGCTGTTGGTGTTCAGGTTGTCGGTTGGATTTATATATTTTGTTTCAAATCGAAATGTTTTTGACAAAAATTATGAAAAAGCTGAACAATCTCAAAACAAATCGATTTTAAACAGCAGTGCATCAGAGCAAACAATGATGAAAAACAAAAAGCAAACGCACAAGGTATTATTTCTACGTTTGATTGAGCATACAGCATCGCCGATGCTGACCGATGCACTGGTAGATTGAGACATGAAACCAAAGTTGTCTCCATGAATCTGCAACAAGGTGTTTCCTTTGACGGGTCCTTTCTTTGGATGGAACTGCATTTTAAGGTGTAATCGCGGTTTTAAATTTTATCCTTAAATGATTTTTTTGATTTCAAATTTTTATAAAAAATCATTTCTCCTTTTTAAAATTTTCTTTGGGATATTTAAATTTAAGTAATAGTTTTAGTTTAACTGCCGGTACAATCTCACTAACTGAAGTAATATATGATCAAAATGAATTTTTTTTCAAAAAGGTCTTCTAACTGATGTTATAACTGGGGAACAGGCATCTGCTTGCCACAAAACCGGTGAAGATGATGACGATGAAGATGATGACGACGATAATGACGTCACGCACTGTGACTGAGTAGAGCAGTGGTTACCACACCATCCACATCCGTTCGGATCGCGACTGAGGATGCAAGCGGAACAATCCTGATAATCATCGCAACTTCTCAAGGACATCTTGAAGACCTGTGGAGAGAGAGAGAGAGAGAGAGAGATGTGGAGATGTGTTGGTGATGATGATGAAGATAATGACGGTGATGATAAAAAAAAATGACGTCTGACATGATGATGATGATGGTATGGAGATGAGGAAAAATATAAAAATTAATTACCATTGAGATGATGAAAAGATGATGGTTACAATTATGAGGAAGATTTTTGTCATGACTGTAGGTAGAGGATATGAATGAATAATATCAGTTGAAAACTTTATAAATCTGAGAGCAAAGTGTTAACTTGTAGTACATGAAATGGATGGCATCAATGTCAAAAGGCTACAATGCATGTAATGGTGTACGAGTCTTTTAAAGTTTAAATCTTATATATATTTACAATCACAATTTTTGAGTTAACAAATATTTCAATTAAAAAATCAACTAATAATGAGAACAAATAAAAATAATTAAGTGGCAACGATAATAAATGAAAAAGCAACGGACGAAGTGTGATGGTGCAAATATGTTATGATGGATGTAAATATAGAAATGATTGCTTATCCTAAAATCATCATACGCTCGTCATTAATGTTATGTACGTATCAACACTTTCATGAGCAATTTCGTGTGTGTGTGTGTGTGTTGTGTGTGTATGTGTGTAAGTGTGTGTGTGTGTATGTATGTGTGTGTGTGTGTGTGTGTGTGTGTGTGTGTGTGTGTGTGTGTGTGTGTGTGTAAGTGTTAGTGTTCGCGCACGTGTTCTTGCACGTTCGAATGATTTACTTGGAAAATGATTTAAGAATGTGGCAATAAAACACCCAGATTTGTTTTATCTGTGAAAAAGTGAATAAAAAATTCACTCCTGCCTCAGAAACTGCATTCCACAAAATAAGAAATACAATAAAATGCTCCATTGTGGCATCCAGATAAGATCTTACATGCATTGTATATGTAATAAAATAAGCGGGAAAGTTAGGAATAATAATAATAATAATAAACTTTATACAAAGTTTCAAACGAATGTTTCTTTGTTTCTAACCACCCAACAAAGAAGCAATAAACTACCGAGCCTGAAATTTCACCAGAAAATGACATGATGTTAAAATGAACGACGGAGTGTATGAAGATGAATGAATAAAGAAGGTCTTAATGAAAACCTAATTGCGAATCATGATGGATAGAGGGAGAACCCTAGAAACTAACAACAAAGAACATGTTGCAGTTGTTGGTGATGGTGATGAGCTTATATTATTATTATTTTGTTATTATTATTATTGTTGTTATTGTTGTTGTTGTACTGCTATTTTCGAATGTTGCTATCATTGTGGCTAAATAAATAATGTTGCAGTAACGTTGTTGTTGCGATTTTGTTAACGTTTTTCTGTAGTTATTTGATGTTTTGCTTGGCGTTGCGAACATTTGCCAGATAGACTTTATAGTCAACTGCAGTTGTTGCAAATGTTAACATCTGTTTAAAGTTCATTCATGTAGTATTCTCAGTGGAGTGATGCTATGATTAAATTGATCAAACAGTGCGCAGAACACAAAACATAAAGAATAAAATACATAATAAATGAACGATTTCTTGTGAAGCGTGTATATAGAATATCGTACCATTGAGAAAATAAATCTGCTCCCATCATGGATTTCTTTGCGATATTGGCGGGAGATTTAACAATTTTTGCTGCTCGTCTGATGTTCTAAGTGACGTTTCTGACGTGAATGGCGAAAGTGAAAAGAAAAAATCTAAAGAGGCAACATGTTACAATTTCATCATAAATGATTGACGTATGGATAGATAGATGGATTGAAAGAAAGATGGATGGAGAACAAAGAGATAAATGAATAAACGGAGTGACGGACAAGAAACAAGGGCAAAGAATTTATATACTCATAAAAATAATTTAATACAATTTTCCGTTGGAACCTACCTATTTATTAACTTTAAAAAATGTTACAAAAACATCGCAAATAAAAAGAAGAACAAAACAAAGCAAGATTTACACAATGAACATTGCTGATGCATTTTTCGAAGCATCAAACACGGCCCTGGACTTCAAACAAATAAGAAAAGAACAAGCAACCGCATATGCAGCACGCTAACACTACTATTTCGATGATCAAATAGAAGATTTCTGCTAGAAACATCATTACAGTTACTTCCAATTACATCACCTCTTCATTATTGCGCGCTATAAAAACATTTCTGCGTAAGAGCGGCAATAAAAAAATATTTTATATCTCAGCAACAACAGCAGCGCCAAAAAATTACCGCGAAATATTTTTATCTTTTTTCTGCTCCTGATTAACATTATTTTATGAGAAACCTGTAAGATATGCAGTCACGTGACAGCTGATGATGATTATGATGATAGTGATATTAAAATAATGATGATAACGATAGTTATGATGATGATGATAATGGTGATGATAATAATTGTGACGATGATGATAATGATGATGATGATGGCACTTATGATGACAAAATGATGACCGTGATGACTATGAAAGTTACAGGAATGGTAACGATTGTGATGACGACGATGCGGATAACGATGATGACGAGAAAAGAAAAGTGGTAATAGAAAAGAAATTTATCATCATTTTCAAAGTTTATTTTACAAGCAAACAAAGCAATCCGCGGCCTCAAAGAAATGAAAATAACAATAAAAAATAATAAAATTAAAAATGTATGAATGAATGTAGCAGATGTCCAGCGTTAAAAAGTTTTTATTGCCATCATTCTGCTGCTGCTGCTGCTGATGATGATGATGCACAACTGTTTCCGAGTTGAGCGAGCGATAATAAAATTTCAATAAACACACGGACACTTCCAATCTCTGATATGTTTCGTATCGTTGGACCCAGACACGTCATCACCACCATCACCGCCATCATCATCATCATCATTACCACTATCATTATCATGTTAGCCTTACAATCCCCGCTGATTCGTTTTTTTTAATTATCGCTATCTCCATCATGCTTAATATATTATAAAAATTCGCATCATCGTGCGACAAAGGATGTGGAAAATTACATAATTACATTAAACGCGAGGCACCAGCTAACTACTGACTTAAAAAAGGCGCGCTAATTAAATTTAAATGCTACCCTTCACTTAGGATAACAAACTAAACACACACAGACATACACACACAAACACACTTGCGTATATATATATAAAATATATATGTACGTATATATAATATATATATACATGTACATTTCATTTTTTTTTCTCTCTTTCACCCTCTTTCTCTCTCTCTCTCTCTCTATATATATATACTCATATAATATATATATATATGAGTGTGTGTGTGTGTGTGTGTGGTGTGACTGTGTGTGATTTGTTAAAAAAGATATATATATATATATATATATATATATATATATATATATATATATATATATATATGCTTTCAAATCAAATGAAACACATTAGCAAACGTAGCAACAACAACAACAAAACAAAAAGTAGGACCCCTTTAAAGTATATTTATTCTTCTTCTCTTCAAAAGTTCCTTTAATCCGACGTTAATAACATTTAATATAAGTAGCTCTTCTTTTGTCTACGGCTCATTTTTCCCATGATTACAAATGGAAACATATCGTTTCCGGAGTATGGTTTATTGCTCTCATGGTTTATTGCATACAAGCATCTCCCATCTGATGGTGGATTAAAGAAACTTTATGATAGCAATATTTGTTTTACATTCATTCCAGTTGAAAATAAAACAACTGCGAACTTATTTCACGAAATAATAAAATAGATGATATCATATTTGTGGATTTCCGGGCATGCAACTTGTTTCGATTGTGTACGGAAGAAAAATACTGAGAGGCAGTTAGCGGAAGGAGAGCAGCAACAACCGACAGAAGTGATTTGGTTGGACCTATCAACAGCCAATGAAGAAAGAAGATAGTGTTGTAATGTAAGGAGGATGATAAATGCCTGGAGTAAATTGAATTTCCGGCCAAGACATTAAAAGAAAAAATATGGAATGAATGCCTAATCGAATCAAAGAAGCTAAACCACATTAAAGAAACTTCACAAACGTTAAAATACCACACTAAGATAAATATGCTGGCATGCTTAGGCCTGTGACATCGTGACAAATGACATTTGAAATATTAAATAAATTAGGTGGTGGTATCCAACGAACTTAACATGAATTATGCAGTGCACGAGACATGATGATCGATGATGGCTAGATGTGGAGTTCTGACACGAAGGGGTTGTACAAAGTACACGCTATCCATACAAACAAACGCGCAAATGTACAACACACATACATACTCATACTCAGTTGGCAATGAATTCAAATAAATATCCACACATACGCGTGCATACGCGCTCACATCACAAGTACTATCATCTCATGACTGTATGTGCTCGTGGGTTAAATAGATTAGACTTTTGTTTGTAAAAAATGATAAAAAAAAAATGAAAAAACGTTTTATATCATAAATGTGAAAAGCTCAATTAAGCGAGTCAAAGTTTGGCAGTATTCCAACGACCGTATTTCCAACACAACAATTACAACAACAATATCTAAACATGCGATGTATGTAACCAAATTTTTATAACACCCAAGGTCGAAAGTTAAACAAGGACTTAATGTATATCATTACGTGTGAGTGTGTGCCTGTCGACTGCCTGTCGGCTCGGTTCGTGTTGTTGGTCTCCCTCAAGTCTGCTGCTGTTGACGTGAGAACGCCATTAACTACTGCATAGTTGATGTTGCTAGTGCTGCTGTTGCTGACGTTAATGATGTATGCCACTGCAGGCGGAAATAAAGTAAGACAGGGACAATTTTGTAAATAGATGAACGGATGAATGAATGAATGAATGAATGAATGAATGAATGAATGAATGAATGAATGAATGAATGAACGAATGAATGAACGAATGAATGAATATGATGACGACGACAACGTCGACTATGACAATGATAGAGATAATTATGGCGATGACAACAACGAAAACGTTGATGATGACGACGACGACGACGACAATAGTGATGATAACGCTGACGTGACGATGAAAGAATGATAGGAGAATGGAGAAAAGATCTGAAGAGACAAAATAATTAATGGAAGCTGCTTTGAAAGTTGTGAAGCCAAATAATGTGAAACAAATAATCTATCCAACAGTAACAAAACTGATATACTTCTGTACCATGGCGAATTTCCTAACTTTATACTCTCAACCTCCTTAATGCCTGTTTATAAATAAATACACGCACACTTCTTTTACTAAATCAAAAACGCATACAGATACACAAAGGCAAGCACGCACAATTAAAACATGCATTCATTTTTAATAATTAACATAATAAATATTTATAAATACTTATAAATCACAATAGCAAGTTTTTATTACATACGTTGAAAAAATAGTTGATATACACTTGTTAAAATGATCAATGAAGAACTTAGCCTGATGTGAAATATAATCAATATTGATAAAAGGATTATAAGCATGTGCTTTTCGAAATCGTGTACGAAATTTAAACACAAATGATAATTATCGTCTATTGTTTGGTATTTTATGTTGCGCCTTTCCTAAAAATGTGGATTTTAGATAGATTTTTAATTTAATGAGAGAACATTACAAAAGCTGGGAATTAACTTTATAACATTCTTTCATAAAACTTCAAAATATAAACAGATAAAAAAGTAAAATGATATGGCTCGGGTGTCCACTGAAAAGTGAAAAATTGGAAAAAATTAAAAATTAAAATTGATTATCTAAGGAATAAATAACAGAGTATAGAGAAAACCAAGAAAATCAAGCAGTCGCCCACACAACAACACAACCATCCAAACAAATGAAAATGACATGAAATGCCTCTCAATTATAAACAGACATCACAACAAATCAAAACACGTCCACCTAAATTTGTACACACACATACAGACATACCATTATAAATAAAATGCATTAATCAATTACGAACGTTTGAACTGGGAAAGTCAATTTCTTGGAAGATTTGTTGCAAACATTTTAAAATAAAAAAATTTTTGTGTTGAAATATTCGATTTTAATAACTTGTTTTGAAATTTCTAAAAAATAAACTTCTTGTCTTATTGAAATGTTTTATTGGTTCCCTTATCTTCAAATTCAAAATCAAAAACATTCGAATTGTAGTACTGCTAACACATGACCAGCTTCAGCAACTTCAGCAATAATATAATTATATTTTATTTTATTACTTTCAGGCTAGGAAAAAGTAGGTGGAGCATAACAAACAGGCGCAAAAATATGGAAGCAAACATATGTACAATGAACAATACACATGTGTACAACATGTCTGTACAACATACGAAATGTTTAAACGCGTGTGCAACACGCATGTACAAATTTTTAAGTACAAGAAATATGTTCAAACATCAGCACCTAAAGAGAGCAACGCAAACATAGACACACACACACCCATAAGAGCAAACATTAAACAACAATCGTACAAACCTTACTGCCAGAAAGTATGTACAAATTCTGCTCATTTGAATCGAGAACCATGCTGCTTGCATCTCGATCGACGTCTCCGTTGTTACTGCTGTCGTGAATGTTGTTGCGGTTGATGTTGTTGATGTCATGGCTGTAGTAGGGTAGAGAATCGACGCTGTCTATCACGTACTGGCGTAAAGAGTTAATTGTTACATTGTCAGATAGGCCTATACGTACATTATCACCTCAACATTTTTAAATGTGGTCACATGTGAAGAACTTCATGAGTATATGTGAGTGTGTATGTGTGTGTGTATGTGTGTGTGTGTGTGTGTGTGTGTGTGTGTGTGTGTGTGTGTGCGCATAAGTGTGTGTACGCGCGCGCTTCAGTTACTGACAAGATAAAGAATAAACCTGTCAAACATTAACAATCATCATTTTCTTCTTCATAATCATCGTCGTTGTCGTTGTAGTTATAATAATAATAATAATTATTATTATTATTATTATTATTATTATATTAATGTTGTTGTTGTGGTTGTTGTTGTGCTAGGTATATAATTTTTGTGAAAAATTTTTTGCGCCAAGTGCAAAAAATAGAGAACTTAAGAATGCTAACAATAAAATATAAAACCGACATAAAAATGCAAATCAGGCAACATGATCACTCGAAACGCAAATGTTCACACGTACACATCACATTCACACATGCCTGCATACTCACGCACATACACGCATACTTACATACACACTCATACCCACACACATAAACAAACTTGCACAAAGAAAGCACACACAAACACACACGCAAACAAACACACATACACAAACTTATCAACATATATTTCATTCAGTTTTTGTTATAAGTGATTCAAAAATGAAAAATTTTAAAATAAATAATCGAAATTTAAAAAAAAAATGAAGTTCTCTTCAAGAATGTGCGTAGACAGTCGAAAGAATTAACATTCGTACGAACGGCAAGATGGATTGATCTCGGGAAGAAACATTAGCGTTATTGGTGGTGACAGTATTTATAAAAATATGCACTCTAGTAAGATTTTTTCCCTATTATTTTCATCATCGTCGTCGTCGTCATCTCCATCAACATAAGCATCCTCATTTCCGGTTTCATCATGGTAACAATTATCACCATTACGTATACGGTACGACTTATTCGGCATTGGATTCCCGCACCTAAAAGAAATTAAAAACTCTAAATAATTACACTGTGTGCATTAATTAAAAGGTCAGAAACATTTTTTTTAAAAAGACATCTGAAAACATCTTATGGAAATTGATGAACGGTCGCTCTGCAAAGGCCATAGAGCAAGATAGACATCCAATGAAACGCAGTATCGCATTGCAAGCGTAGAACTCGCGGACTCGGACTGAAGACACTTCCTAAATAGCTGTGAGTGCAACCGCTAATAATTTTTCGTAATACTTAAAAAAGCTCTGGTAGTAACGAACGAGGAAATGAAATGATCACTGTGAAATTGACGAGAAATTAAACAAAGAATGTTGTTAGGGTGAGCATCAATTTAACTACAGCAGCAGGCAAAACATATAATCTAGATTCAACAACAACAATGACGACGACGGAATAAACATCAATATCAACATCAGCAAGTGGGCAACGAATTAACGCTGTATTAACGACAACAATTGTTACAACATATGGAAATAATTAAAACGTTATTTAAACTCCAACTCCATTTTTGACCTAACACAAGTGTAAAGAACTGTTAGTAGAATAAGCGCTCGGTCGTTGGTCAGCAACAACCAAAAAAATTCAATAGCTAATACAAATAAAGTAGCTAGTACATTAAACAATTTAAAAAAATTACAACTTTACAATAAAATCGATTTTAAGACAATCTCGACAGCATCAGAACAACCAAAAAAACAGAACAACACATGAAAAAAGTTGGAGTGGTTTGACATCTGGAAGCAATTGCCATCAATAGAAGCCTAATTTTCAAAATCAAATCTTTCTCCTTCACTCTTTTATCAACTGGCACCTACACATACACACGAACATACACACCTACACATACACACGAACACACAGACGTATTGTATACTATATATATAGTTGCAAACATACATATTCACGTATGAATATATATATATATATATATATATATATATATATATATATATATATATATATATATAGATTCACGCACATACATATACACACAAGCCAATATTCGTCAATGTGTGAAATGATGTCATTAAACGGTAAAATTGATAAGAAAGTTATTAATTGAGATTACCGAATCAATCTGAATTGTTGGTTCGATCGTTAAAAAAATAAAAATTAACATTTAAAAATTATGACCCAATTAGGAAAAAAAAGCCTGACAAGATAACACAACCCAACACAACCATGAATAAAGTTGAGAGTCGGCAATATATTTTTCCTTTACCTTCACAATTGTTGTAAAAAAAACAACACGTCGACACAACATTGAAAACAGTTTAACCTATGTTTGATGGGTTATTTTTTGAAGTCATGTTTCGCTGCTGCGTTTGTTTGTTTGCAACATGCATTCTCATACAAATACCCATAAAGTGTGAGCGTGCGTGTGTGTTCGTTTTGCCAGCAAACACACGTATGGCTGCTATGAACAATTAAAACTATCATAACTCATAATGGAATGAAGTTAATTAGCGAAGAACGCTTTCATTTTAATCACTTGTCACAATGCATTGAAGTTCATTTTGTACGCGATTTTGTGCCTTTCCGTCTGTGAGCTAAGTGTGTATACGTACGTGTGCTCGCGTATGTGAGCTTGCGTGCACGTGTGTGTGAGAACTAGTGGAAAAGGAGCGTGGATGTGAGATGTATTTAAGAAAAGTGTGTGTGTGTGTTTATTGTATGTGGTTGACGTGTATTTTTATAATTGGGAAAATCTTCGATATTTATTCGACTGACTGGCTTCCTCACATCGTATTCAAACAGAATGAAGTGTCCAGTGTCCACTAGTTTGTTTATCGATTAATCGCATCTAATTTTCCACGTGTCATTCCATTCTTACAGATCATCAAGTTTTCTCATTATTTTTCTTTATAAAATCTTATTTGAAAATGCATGGAACCTGATAATCTGCTGAATCTCGCCAACAATCAACGTAGAAGAAAGTGGCTACTTTGATGACATGTAACGTTGTGGTCAACCTACGCAATCTGGGATTCATGTGGATGTTTGTGTGTACTCTGCAAGCGCATGATATGAAATGTGTGCTTGTATGTCTGCAGCATTCTATAATAAGATTTTTTTTTTAATATTTTGCACAAAGAAAAAAATAATCTAATCAAAATATCACGTGGAAGATGTTGATGATGTTATGATGGTGGATACATAGAAAGAAACAAGAGCACAGCATGCCAAACAACACACCGTAACGTCAAATTAAGAAGGGAACAACATTAAAACTTCTGCTAGTGGTTTCGGGGGAAAATATTCCTTGTTGCAAACGAAAAAAATTATTTATAAAATACTGTTGTTATTGTTATAAAAAAACGTGTAATATATATATATATATATATATATATATATGTGTGTGTGTGTGTGTGTGTGTGTGTGTGTGTGTGTGTGTGTGTGTGTGTGTACATATATTGTGCATATATTGTGATGTTTGCGTGTACTGTGTACGTGAACATTACCGAAAAACACATTTCACTGTTTATTTGCAAAATGGAAGAGCTTCTTAGTCTAAAAGTAATGAAAAAAACCTGAATGCAGTAAACAAGCGCTGATGAAAATTTGAAAAATTTCATAGGGCACGTATGTATGAATTACAGATAGGTATTCGAAAGGTTGTACCAAGCATGCATGTGTGTGTTTGTGTGTGTGTTTGAGTATTTGGGTGCGTGTGTGCGTGTGTGTTGATTGTAAGGAGAACGTGAATATTATTCTGCATGCCTGAGTAACAAATCTAACAATCACAAAAATATTTTTCTTATTTTGAAGTACATACAACAATTTGACGCAAAATATTAATTGGCGCAATTAATATTTTGCGCCAAAATGCAAACTACTAAAATGCATTTGCATGCACAATCACTTGATAACCCAATTCATGTTGGCAGGAATTCTAATAACAGATGAACATGAATACATATGAGAAACAAATAGGAACACGTAGAATTTGAATAAAAACAACAGACAGCAAAAAAATACTCAGCATGACAGGCCAACATTCGAACACATAAGATGGAAACATAATAAAAAAACATGAAACATACACACGCACACATAGGTACAAGCATCAACTACTGCGAATGTAACAAAGATGTATGAACAAAGAAAGTAAATAAGAAGAAAAGCAAGATTTAATAGCAACTGAATGATGGGATGTTGAAATGAAACATGAGCCTAATGATTAATTGTCCTGACTGCATCTGCTTAACACACTAACACACTCTTCTATGTATACAACACTACAGAATTAATTACACAAACACACATACAAACACACACACACACATTGCTTGTGTATGTATAAACTTCATATGAAGAAGCATGCAGAAATCTTCACAAGAAGCATCTAACACAACGAGTGGATACACGTAAAAAACTTCTATAAATCAACACGTAAAAAGCGAACTGATGAATGGAAGTGTGGTGAACAGGTTAGAAGTAAATGAGCCGCATAAAAATACAACCACAACTAAATAACGTGAGCGAATGATGAAAAGAGTCAGCAGAAGAATAAATAAATGGCTGATTTAACTGGCTGCTGAAGATACTGCTGCTTCACGTGCGTTTACACACACAAACACACACACACACACATACACACTTAAACAGTTACGACAGTCTCACATAAACTCATACCAATATATTTAAACAGACGTGCAAACTCATACATATATATTGTTACAATCTTTGATTAAACTGCATTGTTTTCTTCATTTCTCTCAGTGACTAGAACACATGATAGAACATACATAAGTGTTAAAATATATATAGTTAGTTACGCGTGATAACTACCATTTGAGCGTATAATTCAAAAACAATTCAACACAAATGAAAGCTAACATACACGAAGCAAACCATTATAATCATGGTTGGTATGGTGTTCCTCTGAAGTTAGAAAATAAAAAGGCTTGAATTAAAAACTGCTCAATAGAAAATGGTTTGCACCAAAAATCAAAAAAACACATATTAATCTTGCAACCAATGCAATCATTGTTAACAGATTTTCCTGTGATGTGGTGCCGAGATAAGCTGAATAAGAATGGTTGAAATGGAGAAGTGTCATTATTATTATTATCTGTGTTATATCCTGGAATGAGAGTTATTAATTGTGGTGTGGATGTGTGCTGACTGACATTAATAGTAATTTATTACCTTCCATAAAAGATAGCTCTGATGATTGTATTGATGTATGAATGTGTGTTGTGTGTGAGAGAGAAAGAGAGAGAGAGAGAGAAAGAGATGCAGTGATAATGATGCTAGCGATGACGACGACGGACAATGATGATGGTGGTGAAGAATTAAGAAATCATTTATAATAAAATATAATTAATGGAAAATGTTTGAATCCTTATACAAATCATTATCATCATCGCCATCATCATCATTATGATCGTCATCAGCATCATCGCCATCATCATTATGATCGTCATCATTAATACCAGCTTGGTGTTAACTTTCAATATTTTCAATAGACAGTTCATGACAATGTTGTCAGATGTCAAATATGATGAATCAAAATTTATTTCTAAATATAACTAAATAGACACTCCCACTCTTCCCACTCTCTCTCTCTCTCTCTCTCTCTCTCTCTCTCTTTCTCTCTCTCTCTCTTTCTCTCTCACACACATTACACATTCATACACATGCAGAGCAGACATGCACGCACACACATTTACACCCACATACACACACATTGTCATGCACACAAATACACAACATAACAATTCTAAGAAATGACATTAATGAAATCCCTCATCACCACATCATTTCCATAACATCACAATCATATCACCATTATCATCTATCTTATCACCACTGCTTCATCATCATGCCATTATGAGCCAACCTCAGGTTAACATTTTTCTATCATATTTTACAAACTATAAACAAAAGTAGCTAGCACTCATAAAATTTTTTATATAGCAATTGTAGTTTCTTACATAATACACTATTTCATAAATGGTGATTTTAAAAACAAGCCTATTTTCGGGTAAACGCACACGCGCACACGCTCACACACACTCAAACACACAAACACACTCACACACACACACACACATATATATATATATATATATATATTGCAATAACTGCATTAATGATATGATCTGAAAATGTAATCACATGGATCATTATGTTGGTTGGAATGGAAACTTGGAAATGTAAACAGGCAAATGCATTATCCGGTTTGTTTATTATGCACGTTTAGTGCATTGTGCATGAGTGATGCATGTTTAAGTGCATGTGCATGTTGATGAAATATCATTTGTGTGTGCGCGCGCGCGTATGTGAGTAGTTTAAAATTGTGCCTGTATATAAGCATATATGGATGTGTGTGTGTGTGTGTGTGTGTGTGTGTGTGCCTTAGTGAATGTAACATATTTTTTGTAAGTTTTTTAATAGCTAATTTAGAGTTTGTAAAAAGAAAACGTTTTATAAATAGAGAAAATTGGAAAACAAACTTATGAACAGATGAGATTGAATGATGAATGACATTTTATTAATTTTGAAACTGGGAATCTAAAAATGAAATAAACACACAGCACATAAATTGAACAACCAGCATAAAAAATGTAACCTATAACCAACAAACAATCAAATGAGGTTAATAATCTCTTTGCACAAATAAAAGTTCAACAAGATGTAACTTCAATAAATTATTTCACTACTATTTTCACTTTAAATGATAAAAAATAAGTATCTCAACATTTTTTTAGGTATTAATACTAACCTACAAACTTTGAAGTGAAAAAATTTCAAAATTATAAGAGGAAAAATGCATAATTAAAAAAAGACATCATTTTTATTTCTAGAGCAAAATGTGAAAAAATAGAAACAACCTTGAGAAGATACATGTCTTGAGTGGCAGCAATGAGTATAGTGCTGTTGCCAATGGGAAGAACTTTGATGGAGGTGAACAAATGTTTGGGAGTGCTAAGAAGTGCATGGGAGTGAAGTGGGTATCTGCTCCCTATCCCGACATTCAAAGGGTTTCCACAAAACATGCTGTTCACCAACTTTGCCACGTTGTGCTAGGGAAAAAAGTATTAGTGCATTTATTATTAATAAAACTGGCAAAAAAGTATAAATGTAATTCTGAAATGTTTTCACAGACCATATGTTATGTAAATTTTTTCAACGTTCAATATAAATAAATTAACGACAAGCAAGGACAACAATAGTACAACACAACAACAATACCTACATCTGATTGACATTTGGGTTCATCATCATCAATCCACTGCAAAATATTTCCAGTGCCAGAGTAGCAATCCTTCTGCAACATCACAAACTCCAACTCAACCTCATCCATCAAATAGTAGCACAAGGCAAGCCCATCTCCTCTCATGGCTTGCTGCTCATCTGACACCATCCCCACAAACAAAACTTTGGAGCCTGTTTCATCAAAATCATTAACAGCCGCATATGGATTATCATTATGTTGCAAGTGATTTTTGAATTGTTTGCCAACAGTAGCAAGGTGTGATACTTTTGCAATGTTGTAAGATTTGATAATACCATCAGGAGATGTGCTGCTGCATGTAAGTTCCAGCTCAGAGTAGGAATTGAAATAAGAATCATCCAAACACAATCTCACAAGTTTTGTAACATAGGCATTGTCATAAATTGATTCTTTTTGCACAGTAAGGAAGTAGACAAAACGTTTGTATTCAAATGAATCAACATATTTCACAGGAAATGAGTCTTTGTGTGACTCAGTGAAGACCATACTGGACCTACTCAAATCTTCGTTAGCATATTTGAAGTTCGGCATGTTAGATGATAAGCTTAGCTTTGCAATTGCAAAATTGTTTTTCACGTTTTCAGAATATTTTTGTGCAACAAACATTGAATAATTACTAGTAACAAGAAGTCGAACATTATCTGAACCGCCGAGATGATTTAAAAAATTTTCGTCTTGCAGATCTTTTTTTGAATTCAAATTCTCAATGCTATAAACAGAGCACAACCCATTATTCGCACTGCCACAATACAACAAATCTTTCTGATTGGGCAATATTTGTAGAATTCTCGGATAATTATCTGAATAGTCGCACTTGTTGGAGGAGCATTTGTCCTTGACAGGACCCGTCCTTATCGTTTGCAGCCTTTGCAATAATTTGTCATACATGAAAATCCAATTAACTCCAGCAACGATAATTCGATCTTTCTCCTTCTCAAAAACAACCATTTTCAATTGTGTATCCACTTCTTCGTGATGCCAAATGTAACATGATGAAAATGAAAAGTAAAAAACGACGAGAAAAAACTTCAACATTTTAAAAACTTTAAATTTAAAAGACCCTCAAAAAATGTTCTGCAGCATCCCAACGCGCACTGAAGTGAAGTGAGATGAAAAGTTATGATGACGTTAATTAGTAGAGCAGGGATGTGCTGAATATTTGATGACAACTTCATTTCCATTGTATTTATAACAAATAACTTCCATCTTATGGCCTATAGACGTGTTTGTTGCATATATATGAAATACAATTCTGAGTACGTGTATATGTAGTTGTATAAATATATACGATACGTATATGAATGTAACTGTGTATATCATATGTACCTTATGTTTGTTCATGTATGTATTATATAAACAGTCAACGCAGATTAATCTGTGATGTTTGTGTGTATGCTATCATCATTGCTCATATATTTATTTATTTATTTATTCATCAAATCAAATCAAACAATAGTAAGAAATAGAAATGATACGGAGATCAAAAAAGATAAAAAATTCTTATGATAGACCACCGTTAAACAGAAAATACCTACGTTTAAATGTAAATAGACAAATTAAAAAATATTAAATTAAAGCTACTGGAAAATTGACTCAAATTTATATCCAAATGAAATTAAATAATGGCACATTTATAAAATAAACAATAATGTTCATTATTCTAAATAATAATCTCATGTTTAACAGACAAAAGAAAGCAGCCAATGACAAACTCTCGATAAAATATTTGTTGAATTCATTAGAAATAGAGGAGCTATCAGCAACTTTATTATTGTTGACAGATAATTGAGGAATATTAGGAAATGTATTACTTTTTAAAAGAGAATTAATGTATTTCCATTTAGATTTGACATCATTACAAGAGAGTTGATTGTAATAACGTTCAGTCTTGCGAACAGCGGAGACAAGGCGATTTCTATGTAATTTGTATTGACTAATATTAAGAGGTATAGGATTAGTGACACATTTATATATATATATATATATATATATATATATATATATATATATATATATATATATATATATATATATTCATGTCATTGTTATTATTACGGTTTAAACCACAGTTCTCAACCACTTGATTAAAATTAAATTAAATTTAATGCTGTCTATAATTAAATATTTATGAGCAACTATATTCATCTTGATGATCCGCTCAAGAATAGATGAATGTCTTTATTAAGATTTCACTTGTTTTTCCGTCCAGAAGAGAGATACTGTTTCCAAATTGAAAATGGTGTGACGCCAGTAAAAAACACAATCACGTGACGATGTATCGGTGTCATGAGTACCTATTCTACACCTACGCGACCTGCCCGATTTATTAAAGAAATCTTTACAAAGTTGGTTTACTAGCATTCATTTGCTGGTTGTCCTCGCAAATGACACCAACTATTTCAAAAAAGATGATTTCAAAAAAAAGATTTAAAAAAAAGCGTTATTCAGCCATTTTAAAACGTTGGAGAGCAACTGAATATTAAAAAACATTTTTCCAAATTAAGCCAAGGTTGAACAATCGTACAAAGGTATTATAATAGGGTACTATAACAGTTCACCGTTTAAGTGGATGGATGAAATTATTTATCTAATCTGATTTCAGTGCGTTCTCAGCTCATTTATGTTGTTTTCATCATTATATCCTAGGCATTTTAATCATTCATAACAATAAAGTACATAATTAATGCATGCAAAACATATATACAGCCTTAGTTGCATATCTTCACAAATACATATAAGACACCCTCTTCGAAAACAATTCTCAGATTCCTTGAATCGGCCCGATGTGTAATACGACAATTTGTCGTTTATGTGTGCGCGCGTGTGTGTGTATATTATTAGTTGGTTGGTTGGTTGGTTGACTGAATGATTGAAAATTCCTACCTTTTTCATATATGGTACTTTGAATCGACCGAAAAGTTATCATTATGAATTACTGAATACGAATTATAGCTTGTTTTTTTTGTATTGTGGCGCTAATATAGTGAATTAAGCTGTTAGTTTTTTTACAACATTCTCACGTAGCACTCAATCTCCAAAACATGAAAATGTATAATTTGGCAGTGGCGGATCTAGAGAGAAGGGTGGAGGTGGGCCATGGCCGTTGTGAACAATATTAAAAAAAATAGAAAGTCACCAAGACAATAGAAAATGCACAAATGCACTGTCTGTTTTATAAAGAAAATTCAACCCAAAAAAGGTTGCCAGCTTGATTTTGGCTTCAAGACCACAACTCTTGCCACTCGTGAAAATTTCAGAATTATTTAAACATTTTCAAAATTTTTGCTTTTCCCGTTAAAGTTAACTCGGTAGTTTAGTAATTAATGGAAACCCCGACCTTTTAATATATAGTATCTAATATAATGAATCGGCTGAATAGTAATCATTAGGCATTACTGAAGCCGCACGATAGTTGGATTTTTTAATATGATGAAATTAGTAAATTTATATAGTAAATTAAGCTGGTAATTTTTCAATAGATTTAAATAAAACGTTGACCAAATCTCCTAAACTAAAAATATATTACAACTTGATGATGGAAACCCTGATTGGTTAAGAACGTTCGCTAGGTGGTGCGTCGTAGCATAGTTTTGAAATAACGGTAATTCTATCCCATCTCAGTGTTTACTGTTTGCTAGTGAATTTGGCTGGATGTCAACAAATAAATTCATTTATTTTCTTGATCGTGTTTCGAGAAAGTAATTAAATGACGGTTTCAGGCAGTATTTGTCATTTTTTCCGTCCTCTGTTGCAATTCGATTCTATTTTTTTGTTCTTCTGTTAATTAAACTATTCTTGAAAAGTTAACATTCACTGCAAAATAAATCAAGTTGTTTTTGTTTTGCTGGTGCTGATACTGATCTGACATCTGACCACACTCAGACTGATTAGCATTAGACTTCTTCATTATTCTTATTAAGATTAAAAGTTCAGTTGTTCAACAACTTCTGGCGTTTTTTTATTATATTTATTTATTAATTTTATTAAATTAAATAAAAAGGATGGAAATATTTTCAATGGTCAGTCATGTGGGAATTGATGATTGATTTCTTAGACTGGAAATCATTTGCCACTTATCTGCATTTTGATTTTATTTCATTTAAAATTTTATTTTAATTGTCAATTCAAATTGGTTGGTTCCCTAATAACAAACCGTTTTTTCCAACAACAACAACAAAGTATGACTGAAAGTCATCAATCTGGATGGACTGGATATTTGAGGCCACTAGTCAAACATGGGCACTTTAAAATGGCTTCCACTTTGAGTACTGTAAAAGAGTGGGCTGGTTCAAATGCAAGCATTGCTTCCATTACAGGTTTTATTTTTAGTTTCATGTTTTCCATTTTTTAAATTTTTTTGAACTTTTTTGACAATTAATTATAAATATATTTTTATAAAGGATCCATGCAAAATATGTTGGACCCTTCTAAAATGATGTCCATGCAAGAGGATGCACGCACCCACAAAATATCAGCTGAAATCATGAAGCACTCTCTTTACAAGTCTGTGGCGGGTCCAAGTCGTCGACGATTCAGATCACGAATGGCATACAGTCAAACATGGTCTGATGACCCTAACTCACTCAACCAGTCAAACAGCTGGTACCCTCGTTATTACATGTCCCTTCCACAGACACCTGTTGAAAGTGGAAGAACATCACCAGTCTCAAGCCCTACCAGAAAGTTCCCTAACAGGTTTACAGATTTTAGCTCTTTCACTAATTTTGTCCTTGATTGTTACAATTTTTTATCCCATTGTCCTTTATCAATATTGCATAAATTGATATATTGATTAATAAATGATGATATCTGTACTAGATTTTTCTCGAGAGGCACAACACCCAGATGTTCATCACCAATTCAAATTGTTGAGGAAGATGAAGAATCACAAGGATTGGCCAGCATTTTGAAACCTCGACCCAGATTCATTAGAGCCAATCAGAAGTCGCAGAGTGATCTTAGTCAGATGAATGATGTTGCTGGTTAACGAGTTGGAAGTGGTAAGGAAAAGAACTATAAATATTTCTTGTGTGTGTGTGTGTGTGTGTGTGTGTGTGTGTGTGTGTGTGTGTGTGTGTGTGTGTGTGTGTGTGTGTATTTTTTCTGTTATATAATTCATTGTGATTCAGTTTCAACAACAAATTATGTTCAAATTTGTTTGTGAGTCTTCATTTTTTCATTTTTTCTTTGTATTATAAATTTTTTTATATTTCAAATATGGATGTATATTAATAAACTAAACATATAAAATATGTATTAGTATATGTAAAAAAATGTTGTGCATAACTGTTCAATACTGTATTTGTGTTAAATTTTATTTTAATTTTTAAATTATGTTATAAATTATTATAGCCAAAAATTTTTATGTATTAAAATTATTGCTATATTATTATTATTTAATGAAGTAATCTTCTTGATTACACTGATTAAATTGACTAATTCACTGATTAATTTTTCAATCAATTTTGTCCATCTAACAATTTGAAAGTTTTCTTTCTCAGTTTCGCCATCCATCCATTTTTAAATTAGTCCATCATGTTTCAATTTTACACACTCATTCAGTTTATCTGTCCAGATATTATTTTTTTTTTCCTTTCAACTTGACATTTTTTGTAAACGTATCAGTCGTATTGACATACATTTATATATATGTCGTATGTGCACATGATTGCTTGAAACCGCCATTAAAAATTGAATGTTACTAGTTACTACATTCATAACAGTTTAGTTGCATAGATTCGTATTGTTGATTTTCAATGTTATTTCATTATGTAACATAATGTAGCATTAGACTAAAGTAACACTACACAATAACGTAACATAATACATGAAATATTATTATTGAAATTTGTGACAACTTAAACTCTTGTGGAAATATTTCATATTTTTTTCATTTTAGGTAAGGAGATCTTTTCTTTATTTATATTATCATACCTAAAATGACTTAGATTTACTATTGCTAGTTTTTATTCTGAATAAAACTTTTTTAAAGTTTACTATCGCCATTTTTTTATTTTGAATATATTTTTTTTTTAAATTTGGTAAAAAGAAAATTTCATATTTTAAAAATATTTTTATATTTTTATAAATTTCCATTGTCTAAGTAGACTTAATATTACACCTTTATTGAATAACTTGACATTTTATTTTGATGATAGTCATTGTAGTAGAGATGCATCCAACATCAAATGAAACTTCTGTTCACTATATATTATTCATCATGTAATCTCTTACATTTTTCTTCATTAGGACATATAGTTTTTGAAATAATTAACTAGGATATGTAGTTCGTTTAAGTAGTTATTCAATTATTACAACGTTATTATTTCTTGGATCAAAATGGTTTTCCAGTATCTTTTTCGGTGGAGACGAATTATTTTCAGTTTTATGTTAATTTTAATGGAAAGTCCGACCCATAACGGATGGAGACTATAAACGAGGATTGATTATGTTAATTTTAATGACTCTACCTATAGATTCATTTATTAACTCGTCTGTGGTAATATTGTTAACTATTAGTAAATCTTTTTGATATACTTTCTTTCAGCCATTAAACAGATTTTCAATGTTATTCAGTTCAATTTACTTTTATCGTTATATATTATTCTTAATTTAAATTTTAGAGAAATGCAATGGCGTTTTAAAGAAAAATGTTCACTTGTTTGTTAGTAATTATTTGAAGGTGTCTGATTAGGTTCGGAACAAAATGTTACAAGTTCTCCATTTTCAAATTATTTATAAGTGAGATCTGTCATTTTAATCTCATAAAAAAACGTACACTTGATGTTTAACTCGCCTGAAACCTCAATGCTGATAGTGACGACGATTGTTCATTGAGAATGAACATTCACCTGTTACAAATTTTTTGTTTTTCACAATCTATCGAAATTTTAGATTTTCCATTTAAAAATTTATTTGTAGACTTTATAATTATTATTAACTGTTTACGATATCAGTTTCTAAGTGACCTTTCAACGTGTCTGAATGAATTTTTCCCTGAAGCTTCCCAAACATTTTACAATTCTACCCCCATCTTGTCTCTGTTTTCTTACTCAACCATAATAATTTTTTTCAATGGTTTTTTCTGGTTAATTTGATAATAGTTGTAATACAATGTTATGTAATGCTTTTGGTTTTTAACGGCTTTCATTTTACATTCTTAATAAGTTTCTGAAAGATTTTTTTTTAAATTTTTATTAATTTGTAAATATTGCACCGATTTATCGTTAATATTTGCAAGAAATGACAATAAAAGTAATAATTTGATTTAGCATTTACTTTGTGATTTTTTTAAATGATCATCTGCAATTTGTAACAGCTATACGTTTCATTTCATTTCATTTCATTAATAAATCTTCACAAATGTTTATTGGTATTGTTATCATCAATATCTAGTTTCAAGCTATTATTTGTTTATTATTTTATTCATTTGTTTTAAAAAACTTTTACTAATGTTCATTGAAGATTTACTGAAATTTAATTATGTAATATTTAAATGTTTAACATTTGAAACATTTTTACAATTTTTCGTTCAATGTTGAACATTTTCAGATAACTTTGTTATTTCATTTCAAAAAGTGATCATCATTTATTTATTATTTTAACTTTAACTCCACGTATATCATATTTAACAAGTATAAACAGTTAATTTGTGTAAATAACTTGAATTTATGCATTAATATATTATAAAATTTATTTAATTATGAATAAAATTCATTTAATTTATCTTCTCTAATTGTAATTTGAATAAAAAATATCGAGGGTTATTGACATTGGTTTCTTTTGTAATACAGCCAACAAATGTGTGATTCATTCTAGATTTCGTGTAGATGAAAGTTCAATTTTATTTCGTAGTCTTGACGAAAACGACGTCCAGTCAAAAAAAGTTCGCTTAGTAAATAAGCTAACTGCTTGAAACATAATTTTGTACGCCAACAAACACGACGTCCAGTCAAAAAAAGTTCGCTTAGTAAATAAGCTAACTGCTTGAAACATAATTTTGTATGCCAACAAACACGGAAGTTGAGTGTAGAAAGTATGTTGACGAATGAAGTTGAACAAACGTTACTATATGGATGGAGTTAAAACAGCCAATGAATGATACTGAGCCAAATTTACGCGATTGGTAAACGAGGGAAAGATTAATTATAAACGTACGTACGTACATTCATGTTTCCACATTATAAAATGGTTTAATTTCTTCCTAGAAAACAAGATGCTGTGTATCTGTTGCAATCCAGTTACAACGTAGCAACCTGGCGGGTTAAGTTCGCTGACAAGTGTAAATATTTTTTGATATTTAAAAACGACGCCTTTGATTATAAAAAAATGTATTTAATGACTTTCGTTCAATCAATCAATCAATCAATCAATCAATCAATCAATCAATCAATCAATCAATCAATCAATCAATCAATCAATCAATCAATCAATCAATCAATCAATCAATCAATCAATCAATCAATCAATCAATCAATCGATCAATCAATCAATCGATCAATCAAGCAATCAACAAGCAACTAACTATCAATCATGAACAGCTTCATCAACGAAATCGGTATAATTAAAAAACAATAGAAAAAATAAATGAATATTATTGAAATATGTATTTTGCAGCATCGTTTAAAAACAAATAAGAAAAATCAATAAAAATATGTTTGCAAAATAATGTATAATAGATTTGGTCCCTTAATTGAAATGTAAACTAGATAAAATATATTTAAAGAAGTTCAATATCGTCAAACCTCAAAAAATTGGTTACCATTCAGGCAGCTTAGTGGTATTTTAATTAACTAAATTTCCAAACATAAAAGTGTTCTCTTTATTTTATGAAGTGATGAAGTTTTCATCCTTCAGCTGAACCACACGCTGTTCAACCCGGGCTCTCTCAGCAGCGAAACAAAGCAAGTGACTCTGCAGACTCTGCTCTGGGCCGGTCAATATTTTTGAAGGATCATTATTCTGCGTTGTTGTTAAATAAAAACCTCAACGGAGTACAAATTTGCGAGTAATTTAATGTTATTTTGTTTAGTAAAGAAATAGGCAAGTTATTATTTAAATGAGGACGACCTTAATGGCCTCTACAAAACATCGGATGGCTTCCATGTCGGAATCTGAATGTCCTGTTTTCACGACTCCCTTCTCACAGACGTTGTACATTTCTGATACATGTTCAACAAAATTATGTTTACAAGAACGAACAACTTTAGTTCGTGTTAATTTTAAATCTCAATAACAACCACCAATGTATCAGTTTGACAAGTCCAGAAATAGTTTAAAATTGTTATAAATTAGCAGGTTTGATTTCTTCAAAATTTTCACGTATTCGACAGCACGTGATTATATCTCCACAAAA